GGTATGTCCACCATGTTTCTGTGTGTTATACCCACGACTGAACTCGAATTAAATGTCCCCAACGCCCACGGGAGGTGCGACTCGGAGTCGAGTAGCGCTGCTGTGTACCTGTGACCGAAACAAAGCCTACATATTATATTTCTCCTGCTTATTTCAATCAATCTTGTTGCGATCATTCCAAACCTGTGGCGCGATATATTGACCCAAGGGTTCTTATTTCATGCCCCCTGGACGGCCGAGTTCGTCACTAAAGTAGGCGTGTATATAAACACTGGGATTAGGTGATCATTGTCTTAAGCTTTTGTCACAGCACTAACGGTGCTGACTGATCATCTGAAGTGAAGGGTTGTAGTACCAGTAGTGAATTTGGTGTGACGTCGCTTTGTGTAGTATTTCAGTTGTACCACGGCGTGTCTGCTTTATGTGGGAGGATATCCCGTAGTCATACAGAACCTAGACGTTAATTAACGAGGCCGGGAATGTTGCTGAAAAAAGATTATAATCAGTACAATCGGAGCTGCTGCTGCTACTACTACTACTACTACTACTACTACTATAAGATCGGGGGTTCTATTCCCAACATTGGCACAATGTGTGAAGCCCATTTCTTGTGTCACCCGCCGTGATATTGCTGGAATATTGCAAAAGGCGGCTTTTAATCATACTCACTCACTCACTCACTCACTCACTACCACTACTACTACCATAACTGATGCTACTGCTAACACTACCACCGCAACTACCACTACTACGACTACAGCTACGGATACCACCGCTATCTCAACTACTACCAATGCTACTACACGTACAACATCATCTACTACAACACTAAAATAGTCCCAACTATATGGAATACCAATCTATATCAACACCAGGACACCACCACGCACCTGCAGCAGCCCGTCGATACAGCAGCACTTGTTCTTACCCTGCCTCGCGCTCAGCATTAAGGGAAGAATACAAGGACTGGTCCAGCCCTCGTGAGATGGAAGATTCAGAACCTGTGGAAAATCTAGACTTGCTTCATTTAGGATTATAGCAGTGCAGTAAGGGCTTGGCGGAAGGAAAACTATTGTTCAGGGACTGTGAGACAGACTACAGAAGACAAGTAGAAGAACCTAGAAGTGTAGTAGCAGATGTATTCATTGAAACAGTAGTAGCAGCAGCAACAGTAGTAATATGGTATTAGGAGTAATAGGAGTGGTAGTTATTACCGTAGCGTAAGTAGTAGCAGTAGTAGTGTAGTAGTAGTAGTAGTAGTAGTAGTAGTAGTAGTGATGGAAGTGTTAGCAGCAACAGTAAGATGGTATTACTAATAATAGGTGTGGTAGTTTTTACCGTACACGTAGATAGTAGTAGTTGTAGTAGTAGTAGTGGTGGTGGTGTGGTGGTGTGGTGGTAGTAGTAGTTATTACCGTAAAAATAGTAGTAATAGTTGTGGTAGTAGTAGTAGTAGTAGTAGTAGTAGTAGTAGTAGTAGTAGAAGTAGTAGTAGCAACAGTATTTTAGAAGCAGTAGTAGTAGAAGAAGAAGCAACAGCAGCAGCAGTACTAGTAGTACAGTTTTTGTATATAATGGGGATAATTTCACCGCCATAGCCTATGTCATTCTTACATTTCAGTACAAATATCACTGCTACTGCCACTGAACCCTCTAGTGTTGTGATCGTAGGTTCTTGTCAGTTTCATTATTTTCATCCTCAATCAAACGATGAATAGCATATCAGCCACGTGTTATGGTTATTCCTGCTAGCAATATGTCGGCACGCAATCCACGTATTTTCAAGCCCCTAAAATTCATTGGACGACAACACCCAAAATCTTATGACTACAAATACCCCCGTCACAGACGAACTGTTCACAGCATAGGACATACTTGCTCTGCCAAAGCACTGCTGTGAAATGTGTGTATGCAGCTGTGTTGAAGATTACAGTCTGAGAGGTTCTACCCGGGGAGTCAATATAATAGTCAGCACGGCGTGAAACAGTGTCAACTGTAGTCCGATACGACTTAAAAGCTTCGAGCCCAAACCACCGTTATCGGAGCCTATCAGCACCTCTATTGCAGGTTATCTCAATATCATAAATAACATATGCGAACTGGAGATATTATAAATCCAAAATGTCACGCACGTATGTGCAACACATGTTAGAGAGGTCTCTACGTCTTCAAGCAGACTGGGTACAGAATATTTTCTTAAGAAATAAACATACCATGTTTTCGACGTATAGCAAGGTTACCTGTATAGAGTGAATTGTGCCATGTTGATTTAGGACACGTAGGCTCGTTCTACCCAAACTCATAGCTCGCCACTTTTTGTTGTTGCTATGACTACCATTGCCATCCCTGTTGCTTCTGTTACTAAACGACAACCTTCTTTACAGTCACAGCTCTTCCTAGACTAACAGTCTAGTCTATGAAATCTTATATTACACAATACCCTTCTTGACTTATATATTATAAAAAAAAAAAATTCCGATGCTGATTTCATGTGGAATAGAGCTAGCTTGAGCTGAGTAGACTTGCTTTTGTATACGTTTCTGGATCGTTTTTTTTTCAAAAAATAAATATATTCCACAGTCACGTTGCTGGACTAAGCTCTTCCTGCTACATCTGGTGAGTTCAACCACTGGGCCCAGTCGCCTAGGCCGCCGCGATTCGCTGTGCAGAGTTGCGTCCCTTGGGGGCACGCAAGAACCCTATGATTGCGGGTTCGAGTCCCGGTTCGCCCCGATTATGTATCTAGGTTTGTCAGCACCATACCCGTGCTCATAGGTTTCACCGAAGTGGTAAATGTCTGATACCTGCATCACTTCGGGCTTTCCTCCCACATTAAGCTGACACGCCGTGATATAACTGGAATAGTGTTAAAAGTGGCGTTAGACCCAACTCACTCACTCAGTACAACCACTACAACAACTTGTCACTCTTCTGCAACAACCACTTCGAATTTTGCGTCTCTTATGTATTGTGAAAATCGTAGATTAAAGAATGAGGTCTGTGTCTGGTTGAACGTGGCATATTTTATGTGAGCTTCGAATACCGCCTTAGAAACAGCTCTGTTTGCCGTGGATGATTTCACATCTAAAACATTCTCGCATCATCACGTGAACTCGTAATACATGTTCTCATCAAGACTTGAGCTTTTAAAACATAATCGCATCATCACGTGAACTTGTAAAACAGGTTCGCAACATCACATAGACTTGTAAAACCGGTTTGCAACATCACACAAATTAAACCTGTAAAACATATTCGTAACATCACATAAACTTGTAAAACATGTTCGCATCAACACATAAAACACATAAACTTGTAAAACGTGTTCGCAGTAATACCCTCTCCCACCCCTCTCTCTCTCTCTCTCTCTCTCTCTCTCTCCAGTGCAACCAACTTGGTAAGCACTCCAGTTCATGTCATGCGTTCTCTGCAGACTGCCAACTGACACTGGTGGTGCATTCGTGACCAACTCGTGTTATTCCGGGACAAGCTACGGAAAGGGGCGAGTGGTGACGAATGGTTTCAACTTTTACGACGGAAAATGTTCGGTCCTACTAAATAACGTCCGGTAGCGTCCGGGAAAAAACAACCTGCACGGCCTATTAAATATTTCTTACCTTGTTACTTGTACTTAGTTTTGGTTATATTTTGCGGCGTTTTATTTATTTGTACGCCATTAACACAGTGAGTGGATATTCTTACGATCGTACCAAACTGAGAAAGACATATTTTGTTGACTGACTGCACTGCATTATTTTACTCCTGGACGTCTGATAAAACCTCCCGGACGCCCCCGGACGCCCCCGGAAAGCCCCAGGACGTGAAATAGTCGGACCCCTGTTAGCTCGGCCCCCACATTGCACTACTGTATATTTGGTTTCGTGTGATTAAACTGGAGAAAATTTAAATAAAGACGTAAATTTAAATCCTACTTTAAATATTGCTGTATGGGGTTTTGGATAATCACACACTGAACGGATAATGAAATGTGACTTTAACCCTAAACAACCTAATGTAGGGGTGTTCCATCATATTTACAACGTATTTTGTCTCTTAACGTAAGGGTGCGGGGAGGTAGATGGAACAGTCTGTTCGCTTATAAAAGATTTTATTTTAAAGGCATCCCAATCAAAATATAAGGTTTGTCTTGAATTCGGCATCTTAAGAAGTAAGTAGAAGTGTAATAAAGTTTACTCTACCCCATGGAAAGTGTAATAGATTAGGTTTGACCTGAACTATTATAACATCAATCCCCTCGGAAGGCAAACATGCTTCAACTATAATTGTTCAGGGTACAAATATAGTTTATTACGCCATACCAGGAGGGTAGAGCAAGCTTTATTTCTGAATAAATTACATCGTCGTTCCTCAGACCGACGCGTCAGTCGGCAGGCTGTGTCTGTTTGTTGTTTAACGCTGCACAAAACAATATTCCAGCAATTTAACAGACCACTAATCATTTACTGACTCTATGTCACAGCAAACTGTTATTGCGATGGATGTGTGTACATCCTGACTGTCATGGTGGTTCTATATATCGTATAGTCACAGCTCATCGGTTATAACTGTTATCAACACCGCTTGTGTGTAGCAGGGTACGTATGGCATGGTCTCTGATTCCCGTCTCTAATGTTACAAAATGACTCAACAAATATGTTCCCATACATAGACCAGCTTACCTACCAAACATTTTCTATGCATAAACGAACTTTCAAAAATGGCATTATATTATATACATTTTGGTTCGCATGGCGGTCCGGTCCAACTGATAAGGAACGCATGGCTTAAATCCATCAACACCACAATCGTCCTGCCCCTCGCATCGCAGGTGGCCCGACCATCTCTACAGTTCGACCGTAGTGAAAAAATACATACACTCGATAAGGGCAAATTTAATAGGCCCCTTAGCCCTGGAACAGAATATGTACCTAAAAACTCATACTCGGACTATAAACCGCTCAAGAAACAGTTCAGCAGTCCAGGAGGACGATAAAAACGGAATCCTTGTCTGAACAGTCACAGTTTGGGCAAGATCCACAAGAAATCACGTGCATTCCACCTTTTGAGAAACATCTAGGTCAGGGGTTGTGTTAGACAAGTGTATTGACTTTGCAAATTGATAGAGAGACTGTCGGAAGGTTTGATACCAGCTATGTCTACTGATGAAGCAGTTGGTGAAGAGGAAGGCTTAGGGGATGGGTAAGTGATATGTTTATTCTGGTTGCAAAATTGTTTTCTTTTCTGAACGCGCAAAGTGATGACTTCTCAACTTTTCCTCCGTCTGAAATAGTTTGAGATAATGATTGGTTATTTTGATAACAAATGTATTCCCATTCAACATGTGTAGTGATGGTGAAAATAATGATAAAAATTGTTATCGAACACAGTTTTACGTCTTCGTGTTATTTCAACTTTTGAATGAAATTCAAACATGGCAAAGTCTTCATGATACAAATAATAGCTAATACGCAATGCGCAATATATATATTATAATGATGATAATAATAATAATAATAATAATAATAATGATGATGATTTTTTAAATTAATATTTACTCGATCATTGCTTGATAGAAAATATTTTGTTATCATTATGTACAGTGAAACTCCTGTTATAATACGTTTTCGATTGAATAATATTGATTCATAATATACAATGCTTATTTTGAAGTTGTAAGGTCGCGTTTTCTATCTTCGTTCCAGTGTCTCAGCTGAAATTGCTCATTTGCTTAGATGATATGCCTATTTGACAAACCCATAATTGTTAATTGGTACTTGTCTATTCTTGTTGAAATGATAATTCGTCACGAATGCTTCATAATCCCTTCATAGTAAATCCCTTCAGTTAATCAAGACCGCGCCGTTTTCATTTGTCCGGATAATGAAGTTACCGGATAAACGGAGTGTTAATATAGATGATGTCCTTTGTGTTTATACAAACGTCCTTATTAGATAACGGCACAATTTATTTTACAAATAAGAACACTTCCCGACATATTTTGTTATTATTGTCATGATCAGAAACTTGTCAATTTACACGCCAGCAAAGCAAACAGTATACAAAAATTTAGAGACTTTCGCCTGCAGGATATTCTTGATTGTCTGACATACCGTAGACATCCTGAAGATCTGGCCTGTTCCGACAGAGCGTGAGATTTACTGACCGCCGTATAAGGGGGTTAATAATGGTTTTCTCATCGTATAACGCGGAATGCAGGATCAGTGTAACCTGATATAGCCTACACCAACATGTTTACAGTCTTCTTGGGAGAAGACTCATTTCCACAATCACAGACAGTTCTTTGTTTTCCTAAATTGGCGTATTATGGTTGGTAATTTCAAATTTTTTCAAGAAAGGGAAATTTGAATGAGTGACAATATGTTTTTCATCAGAAAATGATCGTGTGTAAAAGAGATAAATTACGAAAGTTGAGTGTTTAAAGGCCCGAGTATTTCTCCCATGGGAGAAAAATATTAGCCTTGCCCATGCTCACCAAGCAGAGGGGTGACTGAAATATGACCCTGATAGAGATCTCTGCTTTGGCCATGGGGCTGTGTAGGCGTGTGCCGTATGTCACCGCATGGCACCTCTAATGTAAAATTTAGTGGAGAAAAGAATGATAAAAATTCTACAGAAAATGTTCCTAAAATTTGTTGAAAAAACATTTTAAGTAATTATTTTTTGTCAATGAATACAAAATATCTTTGTGTATGTTGTTTTTATGACAATAGGAAATCAGCATAAGAATTCCATTATTTGAATGTTGAATCTATTCAACTTCTGTTACATTCTTTCCTTCTTTTCATTGATAGTATTTGTATTGTATGTATACTGAATATTAATGAGGAACAAGATAACAGTATTAAAATAATCATACCTTTTTATAGAAATGAAAAAAATAGACCAAATTCTGCACCAGTTATCAATCATGCCAAAGAATAATGTTCTACACATTCTCCCACTGATGTCCGACATACTCCTCCCTGTCAGTCTTAGGCATCCATTGTCTTGTTTTCTGGATAACACAGTTAGGCATGATGTCCCTCCTATGCCACCTGTAGTATGTCATCCTTCTGTCTTGTCTCAGAGCTGAACATTTCCTGGCTATATATCGTGGATCACGCCACACATTCCTGTTTCGGAGTAATGTCCAATATTTCTTATATAGTACCTTCCGGAATTGACGGTTTCTAACGCTAGGAAAGGCATTCTGAGATGGCATCCAAGACTGTCTGTACTGTTCATGTGTAAGGCATGGATTGCATAAACAGTGGGGGCATTCGTCATCCCCATCTCCTCCTTGGTCAGCTGGGATAGGGGCATGTAAATCACCCCCTTCACGGTCATCACTCTCTTCACTGTTGTCTCTGTTATCTTCTGATGTCATTTGTGGGTTATTAGATGATGTGCAGTTCAGATCTCCAGCATGATCAGCAGGCAATGCAAGTTTCAGTTCCAAACCATGGTGTGTAAATATATCATCTATGATCTGTTCCATTTCGTCAGTAACCAACAGGCATAAAACATGACGGTTTTCCATTTTCTTCTTGCTTGTGAGAGATTACAAAATGGTACCTTCTAGTGAGATGTTCAAGACACTATATGGCAAGCATATTGGCGATTGTAGTTAAACGAGCATTGTTTTGTTTATGACCCTTCCCATTTCCTTAGGAAAACTGTCTGTCCCAGGAATGACCGCTATCAATTAGTCTGGAGGAAGTGTCATTCAACTGTAATGACCAGTTTGCAATATTTCAGTTTAATGAATCTTCCTTATCTTGACAAAAAATGTAACATCACCTCTTGGCATTTCCTGTTTAATTATTCCTTGGCATTTTCCCAGGACCATAGAAATTATAGACCATATGACAAAAACTGCAGTCTGTATTTTGCTTCATACAAGACAAGACACATCAGTGAATCGCAATACTAGTCATGGATCCTGGAAAGAAATCGGTATATAACAGCACCCATCGAAAGGATGGCAGGCAAGAGAGATTCAACCTGGAACTTCAGTGTGGAGGGGTGTGAAGGACAGGATAAAGAGGAAGATGTGCAGGGTAAAAGAAATTATTACAGGCAATATGCAGGGTCTTAGAGTGAACAATGCAGAAGCCATTGAAAGGATTCTGGACTTGTACATAAATGCGCACACAAAGGATGCAGATGAAGCTATGGAAGATGCACCTGACATGACACCAAACTACAGCACTACCGACATGGGGGATGTCAACCAGTGCATATTTATGACAGCAGTTCAGTCTGTGGTTACACTTGCAAATATGACTGCTGATCATGTAAGAACTTGCAGAAATGCAAAGTTCTCTGCAGTTAAAAAGTACTGTCGTGGACATGCAGCGGTTTTGGATATATCCTGTGAGACCTGCAACACATCTCTTGCCCCATGGGCATCGTCACCATACCTCCCAAATCAAAAGTTTCTCGTCAACTATAGAATGGCCCATGGAGATACTTCTGTAGTGGAATGCTCCATGTGCAGTACGAACGCATGTGCCAAGCTGCCAATACTGGACATGTATCTCTTGGGTATATGCGAGAAAATATGCAAGGTGATGAAACTGTCTATAACAACTGTGTGGCAGCGGAATATGAAGACAGCTGTGACAATGCTTTGAGAGAAGAAATCGGCATCACGTTCATGTCAGATCAGGATGCTGAGGCAGGAATTGACATTAAGACCGATGCGCGACATGGATGGCGCAAGAACTCTCAGCACACGGATGTTGTGTGCATAGGAATAAATAGCCATCAAGTTCTGAGAGACGAAATTGTTACCAAGGAGGAGGATTCAGTGTCACAGCGCCATGAACGACTCGGTACGGAGAGGATCTATACCTATCTAGAGATGCACCCAGATGGACCTGTATCTGTGAGAGTGCATGCCCATGACAGAAACATGTCAATAAACAAGTACATTCGGACACACCAGCATCTCACTCTCAACCAGAATGACACCTGGCATGCCTTGAAGGCTGTGGAAAGAGAGCTAAAGAAACTTTCCAGTGGATCTCAGCACAGACATGGTGTCACGTGGCATGAAGAGCTGAGTGACAAAATTTCTTCAATTAGAACACACATTAATTACGCTTTGAGGAATTCAGAGGGAGATGAAATCAAATTTAAATCTTCCGTAGATAATATTGTAAATCATTACAAAAATGTGCATGATAGATGCAATCCTACTTCCCGGTGCAGAAGAGAGAAAAAATATGAACCATCAAAGATAATTATAACTGATCCGAAAGCAGAAAAATTGTTAGCTGTTGCACTTCAAAACGGTCTTATTTATAAACATCCAAAAGATTTTCTTTCAGCAATGGACACTGCATATGTAGAATCTTTCAACAATGTAATGAATGTATTTCACCATAAACGTGTATCATTTGGCAAATCTGAATATTTTAGTAGAAGTCATTTGGCCGTTTTACACTAGAATGAGAATGTAGATAGGGACTCCACCACTGAATGGGTGCCACCTGCCAGAAGACTGGTCCCTGAACTGTGCGGTCACAGGAATGCACCAGGAAAGAAAGATTGGTCAAACCCAGCTATAATTATCAAAATGCTATTTGGAGTCATTTTATGAGAAAGCTTTATCCATAGTTATTCACATTAGGAATTCCTTTCTGTAAACAGGTATGCAAGAAAATTACTAGCAATCGTGATATTTATTTATTTATTTATTTATTTACATTGAAACATGTTGGAGAAGAAAACATGTTGTGTCATTGTCATTATTGTGTAAATCTTAAGATTTGGATAAAACACCATTATTCATAGGAAATTCACAACAGGGTGTCGTCGTACAAAGCTATCTTAGCACTAAGGTGATCGTAACTCCCATACCTTAACATAGGCTTACGACAGTCGTAGCGCTAAGGTTGTTTTGTTCAACGGCACCCAGGAAAATTAAAATGAAGCGTGTATTGCCGATAAATAATTCGTCAAATAATCGAGTCTGGGCCAGACAATCCAGTGATTGACATCCTGAGCATCGATCCACGCAATTGAGATCAACCAAGTCAGCGAGTCTGACCACCCGATCCCGTTAGTCGCCTCTTACGACAAGCATAGTCACCTTTTGTGGCAAGCATGGGTTGCTGAAGACCAATTCTACCCCGGATCTTCACTTGTGGGTGAGGGGGCACGGGTGGCCCAGTCGTCTAAGGCGCCGCGATTCGCTGTGCAGAGTTGCGTCCTTTGGGCACGCCAGAAACCTATGATTGTGGGTTCGAATCCCGGTTCGCCCCGATTATGTTTCTAGGTTTGTCAGCACCATACCCGTGCTCGTGGGTTTTACCGAAGTGGTAAACGTCTGAGACCTGCATCACTTCGGGCTTTCCTCCCACATTAAGCTGACAGGCCGTGATATTACTGGAATACTGTTAAAAGCGGCGTTAAACCCAACTCACTCACTCACTTGTAGGTGATACAAGGGGGTTGATCCCAGTATATCGGTTCTCATCAGGAGGTATAATTCCACAAGTTCATACACACGTGTTCATATATTAATGGAACATTATGTAAGGATAAGGCCGGTTTCTTTTTCAGTTTAATGAAAGACGGTGATGCTTTAAATACCAAGACCAGTCCCGATAAGACAGCCTGCCCATGTGGAAGGAAGCGGAGTATAATCATTGCAGTAGTGGTTCTGTTAGGGGCTGCCTTCGTCCTTGGCCTTGCCCTCGGTTTGGGTTTTGGTCTGAAGCCGGGTCAAGGTCAGCGGTTGGCAATCGGGGCGGTGGCGGCAGACCACCCAGCATGCTCCCGCGTAGGCAGGTAGGCATGAGTGAGTGAGTGAGTTAAATTTTAACGTTGCATCGGCATTATTTCAGCCACATAGCGACAAGTTGGCACGAGGCTTTGTGAGCCTTCGTGAGGTGAATGTAGAGTTTGTCAGGTCCTTAAAAAAGTACATCATGCATGTTTTATACTGACATGTTTTGTTTGTAGTTGACATGACAACTGATCCTTTTTCTGTGTTGTCTTTACCAGACAGAAAGGGCTACCAGTGATAGGGCCACATAGTCGGTATTGACTTAAGAGTGGATTCATAATCTATTCATCCCTCCAAAAATAACAAATATATGAACTGAATAGCTTTAAAACGGACGATGTAGGGCCTTGTCTATTCAATGTTTTTTCACCCATATAGCACCAAAAAATAAAAATAATTCAATTAGGGATATCTCCTAAACGGTTATCGATCATGTGGTCCTTTTGCTTGTACTCTTCACGTTTTTTGTAGATCGATTTGTGCCAGTCATAATTAGGAAATGTCTTACACCTGGTACGTATTTTGATATGTATGAGAGATTTATGTTCAGAGGGACATATCTGAGCTTTGACTAATAAACGTGGTTAGTACGTAGTTCCATTTCTAAAACAAAGCTGCACTTTCTATCACCGCAGAGATATTTTAGAAGAAGGTGGGTCTGCGGTAGATGCTGCCATTGCTTCACTGTTGTGTGACGGAGTCCGACAGCCACACAGCATGGGCTTAGGGGGAGGTGAGTAACGCGTTGTCTATAAATCAGGAATAGGATGGTAGCTCAGATAGCTCGAGCTCGGGCGGAGGTGAGACACGTGACGTCTATAAATCAGGAATAGGATGGTAGCTTAGTTGGCTCAGGCGGAGGTGAGATACGTGAGGTCTATAAATCAGGAATAGGATGGTAGTTTAGTTGGCTAAGGCGGAGGTGAGACACGTGACGTCTATAAATCAGGAATAGGATGGTAGTTTAGTTGGCTAAGGCGGAGGTGAGAAACGTGACGTCTATAGATCAGGAATAGGATGTTAGCTTAGTTGGCTCAGGCGGAGGTGAGACACGTGACGTCTATAAATCAGGAATAGGATGTTAGCTTAGTTGGCTCAGGCGGAGGTGAGACACGTGACGTCTATAAATCAGGAATAGGATGTTAGCTTAGTTGGCTCAGGCGGAGGTGAGATACGTGACGTCTATAAATCAGGAATAGGATGGTAGCTTAGTTGGCTCAGGCGGAGGTGAGATACGTGGCGTCTATAAATCAGGAATAGGATGGTAGCTTAGTTGGCTCAGGCGGAGGTGAGACACGTGGCGTCTATAAATCAGGAATAGGATGGTAGCTTAGTTGGCTCAGGCGGAGGTGAGACACGTGGCGTCTATAAATCAGGAATAGGATGGTAGCTTAGTTGGCTCAGGCGGAGGTGAGACACGTGGCGTCTATAAATCAGGAATAGGATGGTAGCTTAGTTGGCTCAGGCGGAGGTGAGATACGTGACGTCTATAAATCAGGAATAGGATGTTAGCTTAGTTGGCTCAGGCGGAGGTGAGATACGTGACCTCTATAAATCAGGAATAGGATGTTAGCTTAGTTGGCTCAGGCGGAGGTGAGATACGTGACGTCTATAAATCAGGAATAGGATGGTAGTTTAGTTGGCTCAGGCGGAGGTGAGACACGTGACGTCTATAAATCAGGAATAGGATGTTAGCTTAGTTGGCTCAGGCGGAGGTGAGACACGTGACGTCTATAAATCAGGAATAGGATGGTAGTTTAGTTGGCTCAGGCGGAGGTGAGACACGTGACGTCTATAAATCAGGAATAGGATGGTAGTTTAGTTGGCTCAGGCGGAGGTGAGACACGTGGCGTCTATAAATCAGGAATAGGATGGTAGCTTAGTTGGCTCAGGCGGAGGTGAGACACGTGGCGTCTATAAATCAGGAATAGGATGGTAGCTTAGTTGGCTCAGGCGGAGGTGAGACACGTGGCGTCTATAAATCAGGAATAGGATGGTAGCTTAGTTGGCTCAGGCGGAGGTGAGATACGTGACGTCTATAAATCAGGAATAGGATGGTAGCTTAGTTGGCTCAGGCGGAGGTGAGATACGCGGTTTTGGCATCCGAGAATTTGTGATGTGGGCATGGGAGGAAGTGAGGTATGTGATGTGATCATAGGAGGAAGTGAGGTGTGTGATGTGATCATAGGAGGAAGTGAGGTGTGTGATGTAGGCATGGGAGGTGTGTGATGTGGGCGTGGCTGCAGTGAGGTACGTGGTGAAGACATAGGGCGTGAGATACGGTATGGGACACTAGTAATACAAAAGTTACAATAGTACTATGTAAAATCGTCATTCTGCTCATACAAATATAATGAATAATTCATTCAGCGTCTTTCTCCGTTTACCTTACGTTTCAGGATGTTTTATCATGGTATATCAAAAATCGCCCCGGAAAGCTGAATTTATCAACGGTCGAGAGTTCGCTCCCTTGGCAGCCTCTTTAGATAAGTTCATCAACAAGACGTTCCGACAAGGTCAGTATTGAATTTCATTTACACCCATATGTACAGAGCCCGCATGGGAAACTATCCCTGGCAGCACAAAGTGCCATCATATACGTCCCGGGGAGGAATGGATCGACAATCTTGCTTTTGTTTGCTTTAAAACTAAAACTTAGGTTTAACAGCATAAGTATAATTGCTCGATGGACTTTTCTTGAAATTACCGTGCTGGAAAAACCACTCTCCCGGACTCTTTTTTCTGATTTTTGTTTTTTGCAAAATTTCCACCTCCACCCTTCCGCCCCGAAACGTAAATTGCTGCCCTCTTATGGCTTCTGGACTCATGGATCGGTTGCACTTTGGAGGTAGCTGGGACCTGTCTCCAGTACTGCTTACACTTATGTAAAACACCATTCGTCACCAACTCGTGTTATTCCAGGACAAGCCGAATAGCGACTCGTGCCCTTCTCATGGCCATTTTTGCGACCGGGTTCCGTCTTGGCGCAAACGTGCATACCTAAAACAATTGTCAACTCGTTGCGTAATGGTTCACATATATTTCCCCATATATTATATATATTTCAGATGCAATTTAAAACACATCTGGATATGCGGAATTATACAGTATGATTGAACGCATTTAACTGTGTCTCGGGTATATTTTTAAATGCAAGACGTGTAAAATAAATAAAAAAATTCTGAGGGGCTCTTTGACGAAGAACTTGAAATCATACGCGCATTCTGATTGGTTTGTCGTATTTTCGCACATAACATTCATTGATAGGGTGACGAGTCTTCTTGCAGGTTACGGAAAGGGGCGAGTGGTGACGAATGGTAAAACACATTTGCTTGCACTGTTTTATGTCCGAGAAAGAAGTTGTTCTTTCTCTTTAAGGTTTGGAAAAAAGTGTATAGTCAGTACATAAATAACAGCGAGTGAGTTATGTTTTAAACCGCTTTGAACAGTATCTCGGTTATAGTGCGGGTGTCATCTGCATGGAAGGCCGGAATTAGACAGGTGTACACACATACCACTTGGGCAATCAACGTGGAAGTGTATGATGTTGACAAACAAATAATCGTAATCAGGGCGAATCTCGATTTCCAACTCACTATCAGCGTTTCCTGGCGCGGCTAAAGGGAGGCAACTCTGCACAGCGAATTGTGGCGCCTTATTTGAATGTGCCACCTCTACCTTCAACATATAAAACTCAGCGTACATTTGCAGGTCCTTTATCGATAGCTGTCCCACCAGAAGCGATGGCATATTGGGAGGCGCATCAGAAGTATGGTAAGCTGCCCTGGGCGACGCTGTTTGAACCTGCTATCAAGATGGCGAGAGACGGTCACCCTCTGTCCAACTCATCTGCGAGGGCACTGGAGCTGATGACGAGGAGATTCAACGTGTCACTGAAGATGGAGTTCCCGGAGCTCTGGTAGGCTGTAGATGTTTAATCACCTATGTACCGCTCGCAAAACACAGTACATTTACAGTACTCCTTGTAAAAAAATACGGAATATAATGTGGGTCTGATGGTTATGATATGAAAGCGCATACCCCCACGTGGTGGATCGCAGCGCATGATATCAACCATACGTAGAATAGTTTGGATCGGGCGAGTTGTCTAAATCGTCGAAACAAAGCATCAGAAGAGTTGTGTCCCTTGTGCCAGGGTGATGTGTTTGACTCAGGGTGATTTCGGTTTAGAGGTTTCGAACGAAGATTCGATACCTCTGGCTGACCAATCAGAATGCAGGATTCCAAAATGTTATGGTAGCATGTCCAGATTGATCCCGGTCTTTTGAACGACCTTTTTTTACGCAACAATAAAACTAACAATCCAGTTAAGAAGTTTAAAAAGAAGTTTTACTTTTTCCATTTAATGAAAACTTACATTTCCAGCAAGTTCTTCTGTAACGAGCAGGGTGGCCTTAAACTGGAAGGTGATGAAGTGAAGTTACCTGCCCTTGCTAAGACGCTGAGCGGGATTGCGAAGCACGGTCCCGACTATCTATACAAAGGGGAGGTTGCTGAACGCTTATTGCAGGAAATCGAACAGTTTGGTACATCTACTTCTACTTTTGTTAGATGTGATGTGTGAGTGAGTGAAAGAATAAATAATACATGAGTGAGTGAGTTTGGTTTTACGCCGCTTTTAGCAATATTCCAGCAATATCACGGCGGGGGACACCAGAAATGGGCTTCACACATTGTACCCATGTCGGGATTCGAATATAATACATAAACAAAACGATATACTGTCAATTATTGAAAATAAGACATTGAATTCAATGTGTCATTCAGTATGCCATGCAGTGCACTAATAATAAAAAATCTTGTATTTAACTTATATTGAAATTGTAATACAATTTTAAAACTGTGTACAGCGTATCGCTAGTCCGGCAACCAGTCAAGTACTGTCTGGAAGGTCTACATGTAAGGGACACTACTCTCTACCCATGTTCCTTTATCTCGACGATTTGAATGGGCATGGTACAATCAGGATGAAGGAGGTTTCACTAAATACATCTTCGCCCTTTATACTTTGAATAGTGAGTTCGGGGCGAACCGGGATTCGAACCCACAATCATAGGTTTCTGGCGTGTCCAAGGGACGCAACTCTGCACAGCGAATCGCGGCGCCTGAGACGACTGGGCCATCCCGGGCCCCCCAGTACTTGATCACATAAGATCAATGAATACTGAATAATTATACTGAATCACACATTTTTAGGTTTATATTGATATTTAAAGGGGGCCTGGGATTTTGTATTTGGACCAGATATTGTTTTTCAGCTATTGGTACAAAAATATATATTTATATTTGATTTGAGGCAATGAGCCAAAATATCTAGAATTAATGTAAGTGTCCTCCCTCGCTGTCGAATGGCTTGAAAAAGGCCTGTCTCTGTTCTTGAATCCAGAAATTCTTGAATATTGCTGGGGCGGCGTTTAACAACAAACAAACAAAACTGAACATGCATTTTGAAATAAAACTCCCGTTTCACATCGTGTCCTATTTCCAGGTGGACTTCTGACCAAAGCCGACTTCGAAGTGAACTTGACCCGTCATGAGCGCCCCCTTGAGTATAAGTATGGCGACTTGACGATGTATGTCCCGGGAGCACCTAGCGGGGGGCCTGTGATGGGTCTCATCCTGGAGATACTGGAAGGTAGTATACCTAATACTTAAATAACACTGGCCAGTGGGCCACGCGTCACGTTGTGTAGAGTACAATAGAAACCAGGGAGCAAATCCCGTGTGCGTCCAAATGTCCCTGACCCGTGAAGATCCAATAGGTCTCCAGCAACCCATACTTGCCGTAAAGGGCGACTATGCTTGTCGTAAGAGGCGACTAACAGGGTCGGGTGGTCAGGCTCGCTGACTTGGTTGATGCATGTCATCGTATCCCAATTACGTGGATAGATGCTCATGATTTCAATCACTGGAATGTCTGGTCCAGACTCGATTATTTACAGACCGCCGTCATATAGCTGAAATATTGCTGAGTGCGGCGTTAAACAACAAACAAACAAACACTCTATTCACACAAGACGTTTCCAAATGACTGCATATGTTCGAAATCAAAGTTCATGATTTCGCAAATCCTGTTCATTTTCAATGGTTAGCTTGTAACGATTTTACGCCGCATCTTTAGCTTTCCGTCAAATACTGAGATGGCAAGAATTTCAAGGGCCTGGGACTGAGCAGCATAACCCCTTTTTCCTTGTTTGTTTCAACTCCAGGTTTTAACTTCACGCCAGCTGACATTGAAACCCCGGCTGCCGAGGCCGCCACGTACCACAAGATCATCGAGGCTTTCAAGTTTGCCTATGCAGACAGGCTGAAACTGGGGGACCCTCACTTTGTACAGTTACATGACGTGAGACACGCATATACTCATGGCCATAAGTTAAGCAACGATGGACAGTTAAATTACCCCAAAGATAGCCTTAATGTCAAAATGGTTGAAAATTTATTCCAACCCGTTCTTACATATTGCAAGTCATCGATATTGGTATTACTGTTCCAATTTACACGTTCCATTTACTATGTAAATACGTACTTTGTCTTGGTTTAAAATGTGATACCTGACAGATGGTACTGCTCATGCTGTCAACCACTGGTTTACATCTCTCTTTCATCAGCAAGCATTGTAATATCTCTGGACTATTGCTGCAAAGAATTACTTTCTCCTTAAAGCGCAGAACTTCGTTGTTTAAAGATTATGATGTGGGTTCGATAGGCAGATTCGACCAGTAGGTAGAGTTTTAAAAAGAATGGGATGTCTTGCATCACTTCACGTCTCCCCTCTCATCAAGCTGACACGCCGAACAAGTGTTAAATGCGGCCTTAAAATCCCTCCCTTCCTTCATCCTTCACTCCAGACAGGTCCATCTCTGGCATTATATTAAAATTTGGTGTTTAACGCGTGTGTTCCAGCTACATGAAGGTGGTCTGTAAATAATTAACTCTGGACCCGACAATCCAGTGATTGACATCATGAGCATCGATCTACGCAACTTGGAAACGATGACATGCATCAACCAAGTCAGTGAGCCTGGCCACCCGATCAAGTTAGCCGCCTCTTACGACAAGCATAGTCGCCTTTTACGGCAAGCATGGGTTGCTGAAGACCTATTCTACCCCGGATGTGGACATGATGTAGACAGTATCTTGAACGCTAGCTGCATGTTTCCCTGTTCATCAAAACAGTAGTCTAACCTTTGATTATAATAAGTCTGTTGAATGTTCCAATTGCTGATATGGGCACGGGTGGCCCAGTCATCTGAGGCGCCGCCAGTCGATGTGCAGAGTTGCGTCCTTATGATCGTGGGTCCGAATCCCGGATCGCCCAGATAATGTGTTAAGGTTTGTCAGCACCAGTCGTTGGTTTCGCCAAAGTGGTAAACGTCTAGACCTGCATCACTTCAGGCTTTCCACCCACATCAAGCTGACAACCCGTGATGTAACTGGAACACTCTTAGAGGCGGCGTTAAACCCAACTCACTCACTCCAACAGCTCATAAGGAAGATGACGTCCCCTGCCTATGCGGCGTCCCTGCGCAAGAAGATCGACCTGAGCCGCACCCACAACACCAACTACTACACCGACGTCACCGGCGAACCGTGGGACGAGCAGGGCACAGCACAGATAAATGTCCTGGCTCCCAACGGCGACGCCGTGGCTGTCTGCAGCACCATCAACTACTAGTAAGACCACTTCCCGAACTACTTGCCTGATTATGACTCAACGGCACGACAGCAGTGTATATCATGTATATGTGTTCCTCTCGAGATCCGGGGGCACGGGTGGCCCAGTCGTCTAAGGCGCCGCGATTCGCTGTGCAGAGTTGCGTCCCTTGGGCACGCCAGAAACCTATCATTGTGGGTTCGAATTCCGGTTCGCCCCGATTATGTTTCTAGGTTTGTCAGCACCATGCCCGTGCTCGTTGGTTTCACCGAAGTGGTAAACGTCTGAGACCTGCATCACTTCGGGCTTTCCTCCCACATTAAGCTGACACGCCGCGATATAACTGGAATGTTGTTAATAGCGGTGTCAAACCCAACTCACTCACTCACCCTACCAAGAAGAGCATTTGATGAATATGTAAATATTTATCAACTTCAAAAACTCAGGAACAAGTCATGCTTAACAGCGTTATTATAACGTACTATGGATGTGTCGTTAGACGTATCATAGAGTAAAAGTTCAGAGTTTCATGTAAAGTGGGCTAACTCCCAAAGCCAAATTGGGAGGTATGTAAATAGAACTAAGTGACTATGAAAAGATGCCGGTATTACTGTCAGTGGTAATTTTACCGAATCAAAAAATGAGGACGACACACCAATTCAAAATATAAGTCAACGATACAACTTTTGCTGACTCTGTTGAAGTTTCGGCTCCCTCCTCGTGTCGCCATCTACCGGGATCATCCTCAACAACGAGATGGCGGACTTCTCCATTCCTAACGTCTCCTACCTCGACAACCTAAAGGTGAGTAAACACATTTAACTCGATACTTTGAAGGTTCACGGCCCCTACACAATCTTTATCGGTACTATAGCAACACTTCGCTTGTCTCGAACCACGGATATCTAGAATTTTATATCGATGGTATTAAATTATGTGCCTTATGTTTCTGATCTGGACTAAGACCAATGATCCCTTGATGGCTGCAGCTGCGCGGAGTTTATGAACGATGGTATTTAATTATTGTGCCGTGTATGTCTGATCTTGACTAAGACCAATGATCCCTTGATGGCTGCAGCTGCGCGGAGTTTATGAACGATGGTATTTAATTATTGTGCCGTGTATGTCTGATCTGGACTAAGACCAATGATCCCTTGATGGCTGCAGCTGCGCGGAGTTTATGAACGATGGTATTTAATTATTGTGCCGTGTATGTCTGATCTGGACTAAGAATAATGATCCCTTGATGGCTGCAGCTGCGCGGAGTTTAATGAACGATGGTATTTATTTATTGTGCCGTGTGGGTCTCATCTGGACTAAGAATAATGATCCCTTGATGGCTGAAGCTGCGCGGAGTTTAATGAACGAGGGTGTTTTGAACAGAGACAAATGGATTGGTCTTTTTCAGGCAGTTCCTCCCAACTACATCGAGCCTGGGAAGCAGCCCTTGTCGTCAATGGCGCCAGCGATATTCGTGGACGGAGCAGGAGATCCCAGACTCGTCATAGGATCTTCTGGAGGGGCCAGGATCTCCACGGTCAATGCTCAGGTATGTGGGGAAACCAATAAGCTGTCAGTTAGCAGACAGGACGTATACACAAAACACAATTATTGTCGTAAAAAAATACATAGGAACTTGAATAATTTTAACATAGCAAACAAACAAATGCACGTCGAACAAATGATTGTGACAATTGTCATCTATCGATGTCACAAACCACTGGTACCAGATTTTATTACATCACAATACAACCAGACACTGATACCCTTCACAATGCAACCAGACACTGTTAACCTACACAATACAACCAGACACTGATAACCTTCACAATACAACCAGACACTGATAACCTTCACCCATGCAATGCGACCAGACACTGTTAACCTACACAATACAACCAGACACTGATACCCTTCACCAACACAATGCGACCAGACACTGTTAACCTACATAATACAACCAGACACTGATACCCTTCACATACGCAATGCGACCAGACACTGATACCCTTCACAATGCGACCAGACACTGATACCCTTCACAATGTGACCAGACACTGATACCCTTAACCTACACAATACAACCAGACACTGTTAACCTACACAATGCGACCAGACACTGATACCCTTCACCCACACAATGCGACCAGACACTGATACCCTTCACAATACAACCAGACACTGTTAACCTACACAATACAACCAGACACTGTTACCCTTCACCCACACAATGCGACCAGACACTGATACCCTTAACCTACACAATACAACCAGACACTGTTAACCTACACAATACAACCAGACACTGATAACCTTCACAATACAACCAGACACTGATAACCTTCACCCATGCAATGCGACCAGACACTGTTAACCTACACAATACAACCAGACACTGATACCCTTCACCAACACAATGCGACCAGACACTGTTAACCTACATAATACAACCAGACACTGATACCCTTCACATACGCAATGCGACCAGACACTGATACCCTTCACAATGCGACCAGACACTGATACCCTTCACAATGTGACCAGACACTGATACCCTTAACCTACACAATACAACCAGACACTGTTAACCTACACAATGCGACCAGACACTGATACCCTTCACCCACACAATGCGACCAGACACTGATACCCTTCACAATACAACCAGACACTGTTAACCTACACAATACAACCAGACACTGTTACCCTTCACCCACACAATGCGACCAGACACTGATACCCTTAACCTACACAATACAACCAGACACTGTTAACCTACACAATACAACCAGACACTGTTACCCTTCACCCACACAATGCGACCAGACACTGATACCCTTAACCTACACAATACAACCAGACGCTGTTAACCTACAAAATACAACCAGACACTGATAACCTTCACCCATGCAATGCGACCAGACACTGTTAACCTACATAATACAACCAGACACTGATACCCTTCACCAACACAATGCGACCAGACACTGTTAACCTACATAATACAACCAGACACTGATACCCTTCACATACGCAATGCGACCAGACACTGATACCCTTCACAATACAACCAGACACTGTTTACCTACACATTGCGACCAGACACTGATACCCTTACTCCTTCACAATGAAACCAGACACTGTTAACCTACAAAATACAACCAGACACTGATACCCTTCACAATACAACCAGACACTGTTAACCTACACAATGCGACCAGACACTGATACCCTTCACAATACAACCAGACACTGTTAACCTACACAATGCGACCAGACACTGATACCCTTCCTCCTTCACAATACAACCAGACACTGTTAACCTACAAAATACAACCAGACACTGATACCCTTCACAATGCGACCAGACACTGATACCCTTCACAATACAACCAGACACTGTTAACCTACACAATGCGACCAGACACTGATACCCTTCCTCCTTCACAATGCGACCAGACACTGATACCCTTCCTCCTACACAATGCGACCAGACACTGATACCCTTCACAATACAACCAGACACTGTTAACCTACACAATACAACCAGACACTGTTAACCTACACATGGCGACCAGACACTGATACCCTTCCTCCTTCACAATACAACCAGACACTGATACCCTTCCTCCTACACAATGCGACCAGACACTGATACCCTTCCTCCTTCACAATACAACCAGACACTGTTACCCTTCCTCCTTCACAATACAACCAGACACTGTTACCCTTCACAATACAACCAGACACTGTTACCCTTCACAATACAACCAGACACTGTTAACCTACACATGGCGACCAAACACTGATACACTTCCTCCTTCACAATACAACTAGACACTGTTAACCTACACAATACAACCAGACACTGATACCCTTCACAATACAACCAGACACTGTTAACCTATACAATACAACCAGACACTGATAACCTTCACAATACAACCAGACACTGTTAACCTACACAATACAACCAGACACTGATAACCTTCACAATACAACCAGACACTGTTAACCTACACAATACAACCAGACACTGATAACCTTCACCCACACAATGCGACCAGACACTGATACCCTTCTCAAAGCGACCAGAAACTGTTACCTTGTGTAACGTGTGGAGGTTTTGTTTGTTTGTTGTTTTACGCCGCACTCAATATATCAAATAACTTTGATCAGACAATCCAGTGACGTCATTGTGTAGGTGTCGGGGTAACACGTGTGTGTCATCTTCCCGAGGCAAGAGAGTTAACTGACTTTAAAAGTCCAGTTTCCACCCTTGCCGAACTAGGCTTGAATTCCTGGGCTCGATCGTAGCGCCACCAGTGGCTATTGCGAGTTATGTCCTTTCTATGCCTCTCCTATTGACCAATCAGATTCAATCTCTCGTATCACTTGCATTTGCTTCAAGCAAAACGGTGGCGGCCAGTCAAGACGATCTGATCGATAATCAAGATCTATATTGTGAACAAACGAGTCTTACAACGCGAATTGCATCAAATCACGTGAGCACCTTGATTAAAAACATGAAGAGATATAGAAAATATCTCATGACAACGAGTTAGCGGTGCACATGCTTTGCAAATCCTGCAGTCGACCGAAATCTGCATGACACTTTACGAACCGGATTTCGATTTCGGCGCGCGATTTTGATTGGACTTTGGACTCGTTAGTCCAGCCAAAATGTAACTCCATAATACCAGCCTAGTTCGGCAAGGGTGGAAACTGGACTTTTATAGTCAGTTAACTCACTTGCCTCGGGAAGATGCGTGTGTGTAAGGATGAAGGTGTTCTGTTCCCAGGTTGCAGCCAGGATCCTGTGGCTGAAGCAGTCTGTGGAGGAGGCAGTGCGGCATAAACGATTCCACCATCAGTTGTTCCCTGATAAACTCAAGTGGGAGCCGGGATTCAACCAGGTGAGCCCAAGGCAACACAACATTAGCGTCATGACCCCTCCTGGCTCATGGCGACTGCAGTATCATACATGCAAACAGCGTGATTGAGGTGAGGTGAGGTGAGGTGAAATTGGGTTTAACGTCGCGTATAAGATTATTGCACTTATATTGCGACGCGCGTGCGTGCGTGCGTGCGTGCGTGCGTTCGTGATCGTGCGTGCGTGCGTGCGTGCGTGTCTGCTTGTACTAGCCCGGACTGATGCCGATTTATAGTGCTAGCTCACTGAGATACCATGCCGCAGTTTAACATGAATACTCCACTCAGACACAGTATACTGACTCCGAGCCGACCAGTTCTTGTTTCATCCATTTAATGCCGAGCGCCAGACAGGGTAACAACAAGTACCATCTTTTTACGTCTTTTGGTATGACGCGGCCGGGGATCTAAACCCGGACCTTCCGCCTGAGGCGGTCCACAGCGTGATTGAACAGGTACAGGTGTTCATTGTTTGTTTGTTAACATCTTAAAATTTGATGCATGATATATCCACATCGGCTACTTTGCTATTAGTGTAGAAGGGGTAATCGTAATGGTATATATCTGAGGTTGTTAATGACACATCTTCTCTTCTCAAGGACATCCTGGACATCCTCCACAACGACTACGGCCACGAGCTGCTACCACGGACGACGTACATGGCGGTGCTGCAGGCGATATATCGCGACCCGGACACTCGCCAGATACACGCCTTCTCCGACGAGAGGAAGAAGGGCGTTGCCAGTTTGATGTACGGGGACGCCTTGTGATGGGGACGCCTCGTGATGGGGACGCCTCGTGATAGGGAACGCATGTATACTCTCACTGGCCGTGTTGTGCTATCATTGTCATATCTGTCATGATGTACGGAGATACTTCGTAATTGGTATTTGTAGGAGGGCTTGGTGAAGTCAGTGATTGTGTTTACTGTTACTGTTGTAGATCTCTCTACCAGGATGAACGGAACTTAACTATGTGTTACACTGTGTCAGACTATGTGTTAACCTTCGCTATGGGGTATTTGTAGGAGAGCTTTGTGAAGTCAGTGATTGTGTTAACTGTTGTATCAGACTACCAGGATAAAGGGACACACAATTTACCCTGGTTGTCGTAGACAAAGCGGGAGTCACCTTGTCCGTCTGACTACGTGTTACACATGAGAAAAGGTTTTTCTTATTTAGATCAGTGCATCTGTACTAGAGTAACGGTGCATTACTCGAGCAATCACTATCCACATCGTACTCGATGTCTGGATACCGTTTTGTCCCCAGTACCAAATTACTCTAACATTCGCACTCGACTGTGAAAAAAATGATGATAAATGGTAATTCTTACTTCATATGTGTGATATTGAGTTTGTTTAAAGGAATATTAAGTAATCATGTACACTGCTCCTGTAAGACTCCATCTTCCCAAGGCAAGGGAGTTAACTGACTGTAAAAGTCCAGTTTCCACCCTTGCCGAACGAGGCGACTACGAGTTATGACCCTTCTATGTCTGTCATATGGACGAATCAGATTCCATCTACCATATCCCCCGTAGCATCAAAGCACAAAGTCGCTGTTCCTGTCCGAATGTGTTCAGCCAGTAACGAAATCTGTTCACTACTGTACAGGCTGGCTAACAGCAAATGGGAACATTGACAGCGACTGCATGGAACCTTTTAGTACACCCTCCTTATCATCTTCTCTCTCATACACCTTCTTGAGAAATGCCACTTCTGCAAAAACATCTTTATGAAGTCTCATACTAAGACTGGATTCTGATGAAATCTTTGGCAGCACTTCCTTTGTTTCATAGCCAGTGGAATTTCCAGCTTCAAAAGCTGTGCTGTCCACGGTCCCTTATTAAACATATGAAGGCCCACTCTGCTTGATGGCGTCTGCAATTTGTTTTCTTTCAGGCCATTTGATTGGTCTCCCTTTGGTGACACCATGTTCATGCTTAATCTGTGTAAATGGTTTGATTAGACTTCACCCATACCTTCACTGGATTGTCCTTTGGTTCCTTTCTTATATTTACCATGTATCTTATACATCATGGAAATTTGCAGCATGCCTTTGAAGTGAAAAATGGACTATTCGTCTTTCTTGAGTTTAATTTTCTAACAAGGTTACATCGAAAGATCAAAGGACATGCAGGGCTGGTTTTGCTGATGGCTTTTGCTAAAACGGTTGTCCAGTTTCCAGTTAACCCCCGTCCCCTCTTCTGTTGGTTTTCATGTCGATTGTCTTCCACTTTTTGCTCTTGATGTGAAAGGCGAATTTCTCTGGCTCAAGAGCTGGATTGTCAGCATCAGCACTGTCGTCACACATTCTCTCGTGTTCATTTTCTTGTTCAGTGTTGCCATCACATAACCCAATTTCAGTGTCCTTCATTTTTACTCCACATCTGTCGTCATAAAGTTTGCAGTCACCAAGATCGTCTTTCGCAGAATAACGTTTGACTACATTTACACCATCAGTCATTTCTTCCTCTGCAATTCGATGTCTACCTACATATGTAGCATGAGAGTGTCCTGTGTCTATTTGCTCAGGTTTACAACTGGTTGGCAAATATTTCAATCTTTGTTTCAAACGCGGTAAATGTACCTTTTAACATTTCAGAAATTGGAAAACGATAATGTTAGCAAGGCCAAAAGTGTGACACTTGTTCAAGTGTGGGTGATGATGGACCCTGACCAGAAACCTTTTTTTCTGTGGAAACGGATGTAGGGGGTTTGGTTGAAGAAAGCGATAAAGTGACAGGGTCTATGAGTAGAGGCCACACTAATTATACAATTACATTTTCCTATATGTGTTTATTTGTCCTAAAATACAGTCAGTATTTAATGAGGGCTACTTCTGCAAAGGTTTTCCTCGCAATTTAAGTCTTTATTGTCAATAAGAACAAAACTAAAAGCAACAGCAGACTCTTAATTCCATCTTTTTTATATTTTCTTAAACATGAACTAACTTGTTCAACCTAGTTCACATCGCTATATGGCTGAAATATTGCCGATGCGATGTAAAATTTAACTCACTCACTAAACATGAACTGAATAACGAACCCGGTGCTGGTTAGTTTTCCTTATTCAAAAGTACTGAATAGTTTAACAGTTGTTAGGAGATAGACCACAGACTATCTAATATTTAATAGTATTGTTGGACATAAACTGAATAACGAATCCGGTGCTGGCTTGTTTTTCGTTATTCGAAAAACGAATAACGAATAACTGTCCCACTGGACATACGGTATCTTATGTTTGTTACACCAAGGCTGAATAGCGAACCCGGTGCTGGTTTGGTGTTCGTTATTCCAAAGTACTGAATAACTAAACAGCTTTTGGATGATGACGTTAGACAAACCTGCTGTCACATATTATATGAGTTTCAGTGTACTTAACCACCCACAGTACTGTAGTTGTTTAATATACAGCCTTTGATTAACGAACTCGCTGCTAACTTCAGGCCCCTGTTGAATTTCCAGTGTTGGTACAAGGCTACCCCTTTCCACCTTGGTATAATGGTAAAATCACTCACTCGCGCACTGCTCGTGTATAAACGTCGTCTTTGTAATTTTGTGTTTAAGGCACCTCATGACGGAAACGTGGAAGTTGGTGTTGCTTTTAGACTTTTCATTCATATAACCTGGTGACAATGTACAAAACTATTCATGCCATTTAATGTTAGACGTGAAATATTATTGCGAGCTTTATAAGAAGATAAACCATTCTTCCTCTTCTTTTGTACCTAGTTTTATAAAAAAAAAATCACTCTTACAACGTGTTCGTTCTATTAATTAAAATAACTATTGTTCTATTTGTACTCTTGGGGCAGTGGTAGCAAAGTGGGTTCGACACCCCATCTATCCCACTCCCCATGGGTAAAATGTGTAAAGCCCATTTCTGGAGAGAACATTGAAGATCCGGGGTAGGATAGGTCTTCAGCAACCCATGCTTGTCGTAAGAGGCGACTGACGGGGTCGGGTAAAAAGGCTCGCTGACTTGGTTGATTCATGTCCTCAATCTCAATTGTGTGGATCTATGCTCATGACATCAATCACTGGATTGTCTGGTGTAGACTCGGTTATTTATACAGACCGCCGTCATATTGCTGACAGAATGCTGAGTGCGGCGTAAAACAACAATCAAATCAAACAAGCGTACTTTATGACTGGCTATAATAATGAAAAAACGCGTTTTACGATGCTCATGATATCAATCACTGGATTGTCTGGTCCAGACTCGAATATTTATAGCCTGCCGTCACGTGGCTGGAATATTGCTGAGTGCGGCGTTAAACAACAAACAAACAAACAATTGATCAAAGGACATGAGTCATCATCCAGCAATGATGTGTCTCGTTGTTCATTGTATTAACCATCGGTTTGACTTGCACATACCTCTGGATATAGCTGAAATATGTAGGCTGGTGTTACTGGACTCATAACCAGGATAAGTCTTGGATTCGAACCCACTCATGTTTTTTTGGTTCGTCAGAATTATACCCGTGAACCCGCGAGGGTCAGAGAAAATTCGTTCTTGAAAAACACAATTTTGGCTCACAAAAGAGTCACGAGACATGTTGGATGCCCTGAAAAGCAAATGTGTTGCGACAATAAAGAATTATTCGGTTTCCAATGACGCAGGTCCTTGATCTTTACCACTTTTGTCTTTTGTTTGTTTGATGTTTAATGTCGCACTCATCTATTCCAGCTTTATGACGGCGGTCTGTAAAATAATCGAGTCTGGACCAGACAATCCAGTGATTGATATCATGCGCATCAATCCACACAAATGGGATCGATGACATGCATCAACCAAGTCAGCGAGCCTGACCACCCGATCCCGTTAGTCGCCTCTTACGACAAGCACAGTCGCTTGATACGGCAAGCATGGGTTGCTGAAGACCTATTCTACCCGACCCGAGAAGATCCCGGGGTAGAATAGGTCTTCAGCTACCCATGCTTCCTTTAAAAGGTAACTATGCTTGTCGTAAGAGGCGACTAACGGGATCGGGTGGTCAGGCTCGCTGACTTGGTTGATGCATGTCATCGATCCCAATGGTGTGGATCGATGCTCATGATATTAATCACTGGATTGTCTGGTCAGGACTCGATTATTTACAGACCGCCGTCATATATCGTCAAAGTCGATGGCTTTCTGATACAAATAGTTTTGTTCTGTATAATTAAGGCATGGCCATCAGCTATCACTCTGGTTTCATAGAAATGTTTAGGACTTGACTTCAGTACACCATGATTGCCTCTCATATTGGTCAAAGAAAATTTGGACCCCTTTGGCAGTAAAATCACAGACACTTTTGTTATTCCATTGCCACTGTCGTGTCCACCACGTGATCCAAGGAGGAATTCAGATTGCTCCAATATGCGATGACAATTCCTATTGGTATATTCGTGATAATAATTACTTAAATGACTTGTTTAATATTGAAGATATGTCCTTATGCAAATGATAGTTTATTGTAGCAACACTGGGTAAAAACAACCCCAAAATGGATTAAGTGTAAGTTTATTAGATACAGTTAAGAAATACAATAATAAAAAGCATAACAAATTACTTGATATCTTTCAACAAACTGCCACTATTTCACACTCCACACTCATTCTGGTACTATCACTCACACTAACTCAACTAGCTTCCAACAATCACCCTATTTTACACACTCCACACTTATTCTGTCACTCCATCACTCAAGTAGCTTCCAACTATCACCCTATTTCACACACTCCACCTATCACTCTAACTAACCCAACTAGCTTCCGACTATCACACTATTTCACACACTCCACACTTATTCTGTCACTCCATCACTCACTTACTCAAGTAGCTTCCAACTATCACCCTATTTCACACACTCCACCTATCACTCACACTAACCCAACTAGCTTCCAACTAACACACTATTTCACACACTCCACACATATTCTGTCACTCCATCAAGTAGCTTCCAACTATCACCCTATTTCACACACTCCACACTTATTCTGTCACTCCATCACTCAAGTAGCTTCCAACTATCACCCTATTTCACACACTCCACCCATCACTCACACTAACCCAACTAGCTTCCAACTACCACACTATTTCACACACTCCACACTTATTCTGTCACTCCATCACTCACACTAACTCAAGTAGCTTCCAACTATCACCCTATTTAACACACTCCAGACTCACTCTATTTCTCTCACTCTTAAAAGACTTAATGTTACTTTAATACTTAAAACTACTGACTTATACACTAATACTCCACCTACACAAGACCTACTAATACATCAATACATCATGCATCAACATCGATACATGGATACCTGCAATGCATGGTATAAGAATGTCAACACATGTACACGCTATTATCTACACCGTGTGTACTGAGCCACTTCTCACAATGTATTCTTTCCATCATCACTGTACTGAAAGTGTACATCTTTCATTATTCACGTGAGCCTCACACCAGTCCTATATCAAATCCAGGTTTCACCACTTCATGCACATGGCCGCCTATCGTCCTGGGATCAGGCTTCACAGCATCATCACAACACCAATGCCCTTGTCTAAGACTACATGCAGGTAGGAGGCCCCTCTGGGTCCCCGACACTTCATAACAAACGTGTACACGTCAGTCTACATACCAGTAACTTTACCTTACATCGAGCATTATATACTCAGAATGGTACACGTACGGTTATCCTACATACAGATTAGCATGGGAGCATGCTCAGAATAGGTACACAACGTTGTTAAACATACATCAAGCATGTACTACAGTAAGAATAACTAAACAAAACACATATTTTACATTCAATTTGTGTGTTCATAACTAAAAAAAACACACAGTTATTCAAAAACATTATGCAAGTACTACTCAGAATAAGAAATTTCAATATCAAAAGTAAAGGTACATAATGATATTGTGGTGGCTGTTTTAAATACGAACACGACTGACACAACACGGCAAAATCAAATTTATGATATATTTAAGATTGTAATAACTTCATTCACAATGAATATACAATACACATCATAAATCCCTACATCCGTATACTGTTCTCTTACGACACACATATACACCTCGTCAAAAAATATTGCACCACCAAATTTGAAGTGTAATTGCAAATGGTACACTGTGTGTTGACACACCTGCCTGTAGAATGGTAGCCACATAAAATGCCCAACCTTGTGCGTGTGTTTATGTGAGCCGTATGCACACCTGAAGGGTCTCTACGGAGACTTTCATGGTTGATGACAGAACGTTCATGAGTTTTTACTGCTATTAATTTTGAATGCAAGTTCTTCCAATTTGAAAGTCTGTCTTTGGAATGATTGTAACTGAAATGCCTAAGCGTACTATCTCAGCAAATCAAACATGGCAAATTATTGGCATGCACTAAACTGGCATCTCATTTCGGGCTATTTCCACCATGATGAACATTAATCATACTGTAATCGACTCATCAGAAAACACAGGTTGGCTGGGCTTGACGAGATCAGGACGTCCATGACCAGTGCCATAGAGGACAGGATCCTTGTACGCAAGGCCAAATTCAACTTGCAATGTTCTTCGTCATCACTGACACGCTCACAACAGAGTGTCCCTTAGCGCCATCAGGCGTCGACTGAATTAAGGATTAAGTGCCAGAATACCTAGAAGATGTTCACTCTTCTCACCCCAACACATTCGGGACCGTTTAGCCTGGTGTCAAGGCTCGAGCACATTGGGAAGAGAGGCCATGGAGGAGAATTCATTGTCGAGAGTCGGGTTTGCACCTCACTGGTGGTAGGACTCGTGTTTGGAGGTGAGGGAAAATATCTTATCAGCGCAACATCCGGGAAATAGTGACATGTGGTGGGTGCTCAGTGGTGGTATGGAGATGTTGCTCCTTGGTTGAAAACTTGATTTGGGGAGGTCACAGTTCAGGGGACATGAAATGGACGAAGGAACCAAGATACAACGACATTGTTTTGCCTTATTTTGAAAACCAAGCACTTGCCACGCACAATTCCCGACCCCACTGAGCACAACCTGTGACTGACCATCTCCAGAACAACGCCTTTGAGACTTTTGGCCAAGTTGAAGCCTAGACCTGAATACAATCGGGCATCTATGCGATCAGTTGGGACGTAGAGTCAGAGAAAGGGACCATCCAGTGCAGAATCAGCAAGAAATGACTCAGACATTGCATCACATCCCTCAGTTGAGGATCAGGCAGTTGATTTTGAGGTTGAGGAGACGTCTTGTGGATGTGATCCATGTACGGGGTGCCTACACCAGATATTGTCTTACACTGTCTATCAGTTAACTGTGACATGGGTACAACGTTATTAAGACAGGTACGTGATGATCCGTCCATCTCATTCCTGACAGTAACCATACTTATATTGCCGCTATTTATCCCAAACAACAGTCCTTGCGCATAAAGTTGCTTTGTTTCCTTTACAAAATGCTAATTTTTCCTATTATTCATAACATTTACATCTTTTTTCCTATTATTCATAACATTTACATTTGACATATAATAACTTGTAACTATACAGATAATACATACATGGTCAAAGTACAAGCATCTCAACATAAACAATATTTAAATGCCTTTTACGCCAGTAGTTTGGAAAGCCACACCAAAAACAAAATCCCTCCAAGTAATTCTCACTGACTGCCCTGAATTTTAGTTGACAGTCTTCTTATATACCCATTCAGTCACACAGCTCATACAAAAATAGACGTTCACTCCCAAACAATCTTAGATAACATCTTTAGAGCTCATAGCTTACATACAGTCCAACCAGCTTATCAGAAATATACGCAGTGTGATCCCGTGTATTGATCTGTACAACTAAGGTATGGTCATCAGCCCTGACTCTAGTTTCATAGAAATTTCTGGAAAAGGATTGCATACTAGTTACTTATTTCACATATATTCATTGGGAGTACAGGATGGGTTTGGGTTTGTTGCACCACACTCGGCAATATTCCAGCTATGTGAGGGCGGTCTATAAATAATTGAGTCTGGACCAGACAATACAGTGATTGACATGAGCATCGATCCACGCAATTGGGATCGATGACATACATTAACAAAGTCAGTGAGCCTGACCACCCGATCCCGTTCGTCGCCTCTTACGACAAGCATAGCCGCCTTTTAGGGCAAGAATGGGTTGTTGAAGACCTATTCTACCCCGGATCTTAACGGGTCGAGTACAGAATGAACACATCAAGACACCCATTTGGTATTGATGATCATCATGAAGTGCACATTTTCATTCAGTTCAGGAACAACATCAGACAGTCATTGTCTCTCCCATTGGTCAGTGGAAATTAGGTTCCATTTGGCAATAGGAATCATAGCAATATGTCCACCTCATTATGATCCAAGGAGGCATTCAGATTGGCTCCAAGATGACATGATAATTTCTTGACACTGTCTTAAGTGGCCTTGTCCATGTTTCGAACTGCACTAGGTACTGTGTCATCATGCCACGATGATGCCAATATTTTAGCAGCTTCAGTCTCGGAAACAGATCTTTATGAACAAATTAAACGCCAGTTTACCACACTTGTGTAAGTGTCCTGTTCTGTTACCAATGAAAAAAATCATGTTACTACACTCTTAAATGACTTGTTTAATATCGGAGATATGTCTTCATTCTAAAGCTTAAGTTTAGTAATGGTAGATAATATGCCAACTAAAAGTTTTGGTTTGTTAAACTTGTTCCATATGTCCCATTGTTCCACTAGACTGACAACAACTTCCACATTTTTCAAAGTAATCAATGAGGGCACAATAGTTCCTTCTCAAAATGTCCTGATATGATATATCAACAGCTAGATATTTCCTCTGCCTCAGTCTTGCGTCAAAACATTTTTCCTGATACTACACATCTTCAGGGAAAGTTGTTTGCTAGGGGTAACAAAACGTTTGAAGTTACTATATAGATGTACAACCTCCATCTTTGCAATGAAAGAAGAATGGTTGCTCATAGTTTCCCTCAGAATATTGAAAGCCTTTTTCGCCATTGCCAGGGTTTCAAGTCTGATTTCCTTCTTTGCCTGCTCCAGTGTGTTGAAGACTTTATCTGTCAAACATATTCTGCCAGCACCATCTCTTCGGAGATACTTACACCTCAACAATTCCTCAACAACTTCATCGGTTTTCCCGCGAAATTCGTGTGTAAGTCGTTCTTTTGGATATGGAACAAAGGGGACCATGGTTGATGGTGTTTTTTTAGTATCCCTGTATGCCAACACATAAACTATTTCCTCCCGATTGAAGAGTTGTATGAACTTTTCCTTTTCCATTTCCAAGTACCGATCTCTTACAACTTGGCGGTACTTTTCCGTGCCCTTATAGCCTGTAACACTTGACCAGTATTTTTTTAAGATGTCGAAACTGTTGTTGCTAATCAAGTGTTTGAACACTACCTCTGCGGAATTCCGAATCTGAGAGCACACATCTCGGGTAGTGTTCCCAAAGCCCTCTTTGACGTGGATGAGATATGTCTTCTGTGGTGTGTAGAAGAGGATGTCGTACAGCTCTATGTTCTGACCAAAAATAAAGATCCTGTCCCCAAGGAGGTATCCCGAAGTGTAGTCAGTGAGCAGTTGATCATACAGGATGTAACCTTCATTGTAGTGTTCTTCAGCCTGTTGGCAGTGCATTCTGAGGAAAAGTTGTTTTTCTATGACTTTCTCATCTTCATTTTCAAGATAGACATCAAACTGGACATTTTTAGATGGATTTAGGTTTGGTGGTATTTCATAGTCCCTCGACCTCACTTTCTTTTTAAAGGTTTGTTTCATCCACTTCCGGAATGTTCTGCCTGTAAAGCTGGTTGGTGGTCTCTCTTTTCTGCCTTTGTCCTTCACTGCAGCAGCCTTAGGGCAATCCTTACCAGAGTACTGCCATGGTAACACAAGCACGTTGTCATCCAGACTAGTGTATTGCTCCACATTCCTGAATTGCTCTTCCAGATTCACCATGTACTCATTCTCAATCCTCAGCCATTTTCCACCAAACCGGAATACAGATTCACCTCTTCTTGTTCGGATGTGACCATGTATGTACTTCAGCAAGGGATCTTTGTGATAAATCCCTTTGTGTGAGCCACAAAAGTGCAATGAAAGGCTATCAATCAATCTACTGTAATCTTCTGTCTGAAGCAGTCTTTTTATCTCATCTTTATCTTTTACAACATGAAGCAACTCTACAAGGTTTGGAGGCTGTCCTTCCCATTCTTGAAGTATCTGGAGTTTTCTCTTGTCAGGCATTTTAATCTTCAGCACAAATCTATTTGCATCTTCCCAGCCTTTCAAATCCTGGTTAGACAAATAAAGACCAAGGTTCTTAGATTTACCTTTGACATGAACAATTATTTTTTTCATCAGAATCTGGTTAAGTGTATTTATTGTTCTTTTGTTCGTTTCAATTTTCACTTGATTAAGCACATCAAAAGCTTTGTCATCAATTTCCTTTTCTTTACTTTGATATTTCCTTGATTTCTCTCCTCTTGCAATACGGGAAAGTTGATAAAGGAGAAGGGCAATATCCTTCAGACTCATTTCAGGAGACATTCTGAGATAAGTTTCTCCAACAGTCATTGATGCTCTCCTTGGTGTACCTGTCTTTGTCCGTAAGCAGCGTCGGTATAGAGAAGCATCATCTCTCAGTGGCATCTTATAGGATGTTGTGATTTGCCCCAGTGAGTCCCAGAAGGTAACCATGGTACTTCCGCCCGGCTTATATGATTCTGTCTTGGATGACAGAGGTCCAGTAAGTTGCTTGGATGACAAGGCCTTTAAATTAAATTTTAGAACCCTTTTGGCACATTTTATTGGGAATTCTCTATCACACATGTTTTCTTTGAGGAAACGATGGGCATGTCCAGATGTAAGTGCATATATTTCTGGTCGATAGGACGTGGTTTCTGATGTACTTTGGGGTATGTTTGTTGTCAAAAATAGTAAAATATCTTCATGTATTGCTTCAAAAGAATGATTAGTCTGGGTAGCAGCATCAGCCGATTCATCAGAAGCATCATCAGAAGCGTCATCAGAGTCGTCATCAGAGTCATCAGAAGCGTCATCAGAGTCATCAGAAGCGTCATCAGAGTCATCAGAAGCGTCATCAGAGTCATCAGAAGCGTCATCGTCAACAGTATCAGCTGCGTCATCATCATCCAATGTGAACTGATCCACTATTTTCCTTAACTTGGACTGAACAGTTCTGTAGATACAGTAAATCCTCATTGAAAATTCCCCACGCATTCCTTTCAGTGTTTCACCAACGGATTGTAAAACCTTCTTTTCCTTAATAGAGTATTTAGATGATTGTGTTTTCTCTATGAAGCTGTTTATATATTCCTTTGCTGCTCTAACTGAATCTTCTTTGCAAGGATATTCTTTCTTTAACTCCAATTTGGTGATCCTCATTGAAGGCATTTTGATATTTACTTCTTTAGCTTGATGCCCTGGATCGAGATTACTGAAATGTGATGTATGTGACTCCAAACTCATTCTTCTTGTTTCAGTTTCGGATTGTTAGCCTTTAATCTGAAATTATAAATTCAGAATAGTAGCCAGTGTAAATAGTAAAATGAATATAATATACGCACTGAAATATGTTGAGCATCACCCCTAAACTTACAACTACATTGAAGTCATTCTGATTAGTTGTGCAATGTCATTTGTTTGTTGGTTGTTTAACGCTGTACTCAGCAATAATCAGGCTCTGTCTTGATGTCCTACAAATAATTGAGTCTGGATCAGGCAAACCAGTGATTGGTACGATGAGCTAAGTCTCAAGGGTTCGTTGACACGCTGTTTGATCATTCCATTCAGTCGCCCTTTAAAACCAGCATATGTTGCATGGGACCGATTCTCAGCCGGAATCTCAATGTGGCCCTTTCTATATAAATATGGTCAATGAGCATCAGTAAATACTGTAAAAGGGAAACTCTGTTAATAGTCACCGTATTGATCTGCGAAATGAGAGATTAAAGTAAATAGTACTCATGCGTTAGATCAATCTTGTCTGGCAAATGTCTTGTCTGACGCTTGAGACCCATGAAGATCAGGGTTAGAATAAGTCTTGAGCAACCCATGTTTGTCGTAACAGGCGACTAACGGGTGGTCAGGCTCACTGACTTGGTTGATGCATGTCATTGTATCCGATCGATGCTCATGATGTCAATCACTGGATTGTCGGACACAGACTCGATTATATACAGACAACGGGGATACATAATACCAATAATATATGTTAATAAGAAATAATAAGATAAAGAAAGTGTCGATCCTTCAGGAAGATCCTGACTGTCTCCTGACCCCAGGTTCTATCAGATAAAGGAGTAACCCACCACAACCCTTGTTGCTGAAAGGGGATATAAACAAGAACACGGCGATTTGGGTCAGCTTACTTGCACTTTATACCAGCACATATGCCACTTTGAGCCTTTGGAAAAACTGTCAAAGCGATATCACATATCAGCGTCAGCCTGCAGATTCGTGGAAAGCTCGTGACACAGTGTCTGACATTTTCCTAGAAAGCTGTTGTAATGTGACCTAGATAATACCGGTCGGGCTAACGTACAGCGATAACAGGATCAGCTCGCTGTAAATGTGTTTGGCAATCTCACGTTAAGAAATGTCTTCTATGTATTTTTTATCACCGATAACATATTTACTGCATGTGACATAAATTATCACATCATATCTTCTTAAACGGCCCTGACTGGTCGATACAATGAAAACAATGAAAACGGACTGACTGCAGAACGTTGAGCATTATGAAATCGTGGAAAACAAATGTGTTTACCTCTTTGGAGAAATGGGCATGATTTCAACTTGCCCCGTCATGCTGGTTGCATGCTGATTATATACTGAACTGCAAAAGAAACGTCACCCCAAGTAACATTGTATGAAAAGTTGTCATTTAAATATCTGGGGAATTTTTGTCAAATTTTCTCAAATTTAACATTACCTTGTCCGGAAAAATGAAATATGATGATGTAAAACAAAGAGGGTGACAATAAAACCGATCGCGCAAACGCATCACGGCAACGGCCATGGTAACCCGATGCACGTGAGTTCCGTGCAAATTGAAATGCACATGTGTTCCCCCATTTCTTGCCCTATAAAAATCTACCCAGACCGGATAACATGTATTCGTTATTGAATTGCTACCACGTGCCAAGATTGACAAGAAATCATCGACACAAGCCCTTGGACGATTGCACGCCGGACAAGCCGCCCGGCAAGTAGCCAATGCATTTCAAGTCCCCGTAAGGACCATATACGGGCTCCAGCAACGGTACCAGACCACCAACACTACAGATGACCGACCACGTAGTGGAAGACCAAGGGTCACTACCCGACGTCAGGATCGTCAGATTGTGCGACAGCATCTTCAGGATCGCTTTGTTACTGCTGCGGTAACTGCTCGACAGAGCATGGGGACACACCAGCGACACATTAGTGCGGACACCGTGCGTCGACGATTGACGAGCTGACACCTCCACTGTCACATGACACACTGAGGACCCATTCTGACACCACGTCATCATCGTCTTCAGTGGGCAACACAGCACGAGCATTGGCGCCACCAGCAGTGTCCTCTTCTCAGACGACAGCCGTTACTGTATCTTAACAGCAGATAGCAGTGAGGGAGTCCGGCGACGCCGTGGGGAACGTTATTCGGATGCTTGTTTTGTTGAGGGAGACTCGAAGGGTGGTCCGAGCATCATGGTGTGGGTGGAATTGGTCTTGCACAGAGGGTCGGCCCTGTGGACTTCAAGAACATCGGTCCGGGGAGAGGCAATGGTGTCACAGCAGCTTGGTACATTGATCAAGTCTTAAGACCACACGCCATACCTCATTTGGCACGTCGCCGCAACCACGAGTTTCAGCATGATAACGCCCGTTGATGAGTGGCCTGCCCCAGTCCCGATTTAAATCCCTTTGAGCCCCCGTGAGACGAGATTCAAAGACGGCTTAATGATGTCCGACCAAGGCCGACAACTGCAGCTGAACTGCGTCAGGGTTCTTCAGAGTGTGGGCTCAAGTGGCTGTGGCCTTCATCAACTGCCTCATCCATTCGACGTTGCACGGCAGTCATCAATGCACATGGCGGACACACGAGATACTGACTTGTGATGCCATTTTCTCAAAGACTAGTGTTGTGTTTCACTTTAAGAACATTTGACACTTTAATTTCAACCTTGATGATCAGTTTTGCCAAGTTTCATCGTTTTAATATGTCTCAAGCATGTTTACAGTGTTTGGACAAATAAGGTTTCTCATATATCTATCGATGGTGACGTTTCTTTTGCGGTTCGGTATACATAACCATTAAAGGATCATGTCCTCAAGGAATGAAGACAACATACAATTGTACTCCTCATATCAAGGTTTAACCTAGACTAAGGCTTAGACTCTGAAAATATATAATTTTAATAGAAACAATGCGTACAATGTGTGAAGCCCATTTCTGGTGTCCCCTGTCTTGATATTGCGGGAATATTGCTGTAAGCAGCTTAAAACCATACTTACTCACTCACTCACTCACTCATTGATAAAATCAATTAACTCAATTTAAATTCAAGAGGAGTGACCGTGAGATGGGAGATGGAAAATCTAGACTTGCTTATTTAAGACTATAGCATTACATTAAGGGCTGGGTGAAAGTCAGAATATATGTTTTACGGGAGTGTGAGACAGACTAGCCGTAATTTTAATACCACAGTTGATCATGAGCTATGGCTGTTTCCTATGATGTCTGTGTATAAAGTGGCTTGTCCTTTTTCATGATCAAAACATGTGCTCGAAACTTTATTGGATTGATTTGTTTGTTTGTTGTTTAACGGCGCACTCAGCAATATTCCAGCTACATGACGGCAGTCTGTATATAATCGAGTCTGGACCAGACAATCCAGTGATTGATATCAATCACTAATATATAGCCGTCATATAGCTGGTATATTGCTGAATGCGGCGTTAAACAACAAACCTACAAACCAACATACAGCGAGGACGATCGGGTTAAATATTTCGGCATGAATATGCAATCATTTCCACTTTCCCTATTTTATTTACTGTAGAATAAGAAAACAATTATATGAATGGTGTGTCCAAAAATCCACCGATTAATTATACAGTTTTAGCCTTCGTAGAAATCATACCACTGACACTGTCTTTCTTAGAAACGCAAATATTAAGTGAGCGCGTACTATTGGCGAACTGGCTATGTTGATGAATTATGTTTACATGTCTTGTCCACAGCTGGAACACATTTAGATAATATGACATGAGACGTGGGTAGATCTACCACAGATGTCTCAAAAAACTGTTTACTAATCGTATCCTAACAGGTATGTCACAGTTATTAAACCCAGCGTGTTATCGTGGTCATGGCATACCAGGTACTTTATCTCTATACAGGGCATTACCAGGTAAACTACACTGAACTATGCTGCAATGTTCATTGTAGAGATGTTGTGATGAGGAAAATATTGAATTTCCAGTTTTAATCATCTGTGCATATTCGCCTACGACAAATTCTCCAACTACAGCTTCTCTGACAGGTGTACACGGAGGACAAACAACTAACGACTGACACAATATGAATTAAAAGACCCTATGAATTGACTTGTGAGTAATTTTATGTTAAATATATTGAGTGCTGTGAACTTACAAAATGTTCTTGTAAATAGGGGTGCAGAATTTATGAAATCACAAAACACTTTCATTAGCACTATACCAAAACGATTCGTCAATACATTTTATAATAAGAGACATGTGGGTAGGTATTTGTAACTCGACTGACATATTATGTAGAAGAAATCCAGGATATCGACATTGTGGGACACACGGCACTCTCGCAATACCATTTTTAATATGAGGAAAATGGACAACCAAATGTACAACTCGGTACAAACTGGAAGCACCAGCGAACTCCACCGATCTCCATATAGTAGGTTGCATTCCTCTTCCATTATATGTTGATATGTCAGGGCTGATTAAAACAGATGTTTCTCTAGATAAGGCAGTCACCGCAAATTCATGTATTCCTTACACCTTTGAACCCCATTTTAAAGAGGCCATTTTGTGCATGTTCTCATCAACCATCATGGGTACATATTGCCAGTTGTCTCTGTTAAACCTGCAGCGACACTGCCAGCAACTTCACTTAACCCATCTCTTATAATGTAAATAACCATGATTCTATTTTGTTTATGGAAATTTCTGGACGACATTTTAATAGAGTAAGGGCCAAATCATTACCATGAGGAAAATAAGCAAGTTTTACAAATATTGTATCAAGTTACATGTCAAATATTTAGGATTGGAAATTAGGCATATTACAGACCATATTCCTGAATCTTAAACCTGCCAAGGGTCCAACCGACAATCACGCGGCACCCCGGACATTATCCAGGAGCTGTATCTCTCAAGGTTCTGGTCAGATAGTTAGGCAAATAAGTTTAAGGCGTTAATACCTTAACACCTTTATAATCAATGCCTTCGTCAAACTAAATTGAATACTCATGTCGAGATAGCGCCACCATACTTCTCAATCACAACTTGTGGTCAGTTTAACCAGTAAATGAGATTATCTGGAGTAGCTGGAACAGGTATAAAGGCGGACGACAGACAGACACAAGTGATTCTGTGGTTGATTCTTTATCCATTCGGGTCTTGTGTTGTTATGTGGGTTGGCCGGGTACAGTGTTACCACTGCAAAGCGAACTGATTCCCCAACTCACTCTTTTTAATACTATTCCTATATTGTGTTTCACGATCTCTAGGGTATTGCAATAATTCAGTATCCAAATATAGGGTACAGATCATGTCAAGCACGGAAATTCACCTGTGATGTTTTGTATATAATACTAGATTTAAAACATCTTAAAACACATCAATGTTATCTACTGAGACACGTACGTGTAATACATACCTGTTTCAGGAGGCCCGATTACGTTGAGCTTCTCACAGAGCTACAGCTAGACACTCACCAACCGACCCACATCTAGCTTATTCTGCCTATAACTGCCTGAAACCAGTTGCAACTGGCTTATACCGCCCTTACTGGTTACATCAAGCTCGGGGCGAAATAGCGCGTGTATGTTGTCAAACATTGTACATAGTGAGGAGGACACGTGTGTGTGTGTGTGTGAGGGAGAGAGAGGTGCGTGAATGTTGTTTATTGTCGCAGTCTGCTATATTACGACGGCTTATAAATATTCGAGTCTGTAAACCAGTGGTAATAAATATCAGAAGGTCCCACGCCGTCCGGGAACGATGAGACACAATGAACTAAGACACCGAGCCTTATAACCGGATACAATTTAGTCAACTCTTACGACCAGCAGCAGAGTGCTGGGAACCTATTCCAACCTCGGCACCCATGCGGTCTGCATTGTGGTATTTTCATAATATCCCAAGTCCACACCCGTGACAAGTATCAGTGTTTTTCTCAGTACGCCCGTGAAATAAGGGTGAGAGAGTTGGGATTTTGTTTGGAGATTAGATATTTTTTTTCAGCTACAGCTGTAAAGCCAGGTTTTTTAATTTTATTATAATTATCAGTTTGAATTTTTTTAAAGCAGACCACCTTGCAACAATGTACTTTTGGGGCAGGAAATTTCTATTTTTTTCAACAGTTTGAAGCATAAAACATTTATTTCAAGAATATCTTCCGTGGTCTAGCGTCCACCCGGGGTTCGATCCCCGGCCGCGTCATACCAAAAGACTTTAAAAGATGGTACTTTTTGTTACCCTGTCTGGCGCTCCTCATTAAGGGGCTAAAACAAGGAATGGTCGGCTCGGAGTCAGTATACTGTGTCTGAGTGGGGTATTCATGTTAAACTGCGGCATGATATCTGTGAGCAGGCATCAGTCCGGGCTAGTACAACCAGCCACAATCAGCCACATACACACAGCCACACACAGCCACACACACACACACACACGTCGCTATATAAGCGTAATAATCATGGACGCGACGTTAAACCCAATGTCACCTCACCTCCAGTTCATTATGAGCAGATCAAACCTGTGTCTTGAATCATTCAGATGAGATTCGTTAGTTTTTTGTTTTAAACCGCACTCTGTATATAATAGAGTCTGGACCAGATAATTCAGTGATTGACACCATAACCATCGATCCACACATTTGGGATCGATGACATGCATGAACCAAGTAAGCGAGCCTGACCACCCGATCCCGTTAGTCGCCTCTTACGAAAAGCATAGTCGCCTTTTACTGCAAGAAGGGGTTGCCGAAGACCTATACTATCCCGGATCTTCACAACCATCCTTTAAGTGCGTTCTTCATTGAATTGTTTTTCTTCTTCTCGAACTTGACTAAAAACTTTCAAACTGGTAATCATCCGTTTCACCATTCTGCCAATTGGAACATTTGAAGGGTCGTTTTCCTTTCGCAATCCCAGAAAGCTGGTAAAGCAAACAGGCTCTTTCTTTCAGGTTCATTTTATGGGATATTCTGAGATAGGTGTCTGCAACACACACATATATCCTCCTTGGGTCGCCTTTTTGTCTGTTAATACTTCAGCATATAAAGGGAAGGATCCTTTCTGAGTGGCATCTTTTACTGTTGTAATTACACCCAGGTCATCCCAGAAAGTGATGACTTCATTAGGCCGAATGTTTGGAGCAGACGGCGAATGTTGCTCAGTGAGGTGTTTTGAGGCCGGGATCATCGAACTAAAATGTAAAACACGTCTGGCACACTTAGCTTGAAACTATTCACTACATATCTTGTCTTCATTTTTTAAGTGAGTGAGTTGGGTTTAACGCCGCTTTTAACATTATTCCAGTTATATGACGGCGTGTCAGCTTAATGTGGGAGGAAAGCCCGAAGTGATGCAGGTCTCAGGCGTTTACCACTTTGGTGAAACCCACGAGCACGGGTATGGTGCTGACAAACCTAGAAAAACATAATTGGGGCGAACCGGGACTCGAACCCACAATCATAGGTTTCTGGCGTGTCCAAGGGACGCAACTCTGCACAGCGAATCGCGGCGCCTTAGACGACTGGGCCACCCATGCCCCCCCTCAGCATGTCAGCATGTAAATTAAATGTAACAGACTCAGAACTCGTTGATGCTTCAGCTCTTCTGCAAACTCTTCATGTAATATCCGACCCGTGAAGATTCCGGGGTAGAATAGGTCTTCAGCAACCCATGCTTGCCGCAAAAGGCGACTATGCTTGTCGTAAGAGGCGACTAACGGGATCGGGTGGTCAGGCTCGCTGACTTGGTTGATGCATGTCATCGATCCCAATTGCGTGGATCGATGGTCATGATATCAATCATTGGATTGTCTGGTCAAGACTCGATTATTTACAGACCGCCGTCATATAGCTGGAATATTGCTGATTGCGGCGTTAAACAACAAAACAACCAAGCATGTAATATCCACAACTGAAATAAATGAGCATACATAGGCTGGTAGATGTTGAAGGACAAAAGAAACGTGCCCTCGTATATTTTACAAAGCAACAAAATAACAAAGCTATTGTGATTGTTGTTTTTGAAAACAGGGTAATTTTACAACATGTTTGCATAAACGCTTACGAATCCAGCGGAATTTTTTTTTGCGAAGGTTAACTTACCAATATTCGATCTCCAATTAAAGTGAGCAGCCACTTTCAAAATTTTAGAAAAAGCAACTATCCTGTCAGTATCGGGTATGTCCTCCCCCAGCTTCGATGCAGGCTCTTGACACGGCGCTGAGCAGGGAAAGTCAGTCGTCTAATGACGTGCACAGGGATCAGACGCCACCTTTGTCTCTGGACGTGACTGACGTTGCCTAAGCTGTCGTGTTATATTGGAAACATGCCAGGAGATCTTGCAGGCCAAGGAAGAAGGGACTCGTTGTTGGCGTTGTAATGCTGGTAATGTGGGCCGAATTAGGCGAGGCGTTATCTTGTTGGAATATCGTTTGCGGGTGACGTTGAAGAAATGGCATTACAACTGGCGTTTACACCTCACTGGTGTAGCGTGCAGCGGTACGATTGCCATCAATATTCACCAAATCCAATCCCATCACACTGCCACCACCGTATGGTTCAATTTCCTGCATTTTCATACCATCTAAATATTTCTAATTTGAATATAGTACTTTTTCTCGTCACGATATGGCTGAAATAATGCCGTTAAATGTGATGTCAGTCACTGGATTTTCTGGTCCAGACTCGATTATTTACAGACCGTCGTCACATAGCCGGAATAGTGCGGAGTGCAGCGTTAAACATCAAACAATCAATCCATGGAAACTGAATGTGCCAATGCCAAAGAACATTTTCGCAGCCGTTTTATACCAGATTTGCATACGGGTATTTATCTAAGGGTTGTGCCTTTTCCCGAGCAATAAGAGCATTTCACACCGTGCAGTTTGAGCATGCCAGTGATAGGAAGGAATCAGTTGCGTTTAGGCGATGCGTTTTAATCTATATATTAAAAGGTATTTTGACATTGGTTAGAAATATATTGAGAAAAAAAGTGAGGTGACTTTTGTTTTCTCCTTGAGTTATTATACAAAAGATTATCGTGGGCCGACAGACAATTCACTTTAACACCATTTTTCATGTGAAAGTGGTTTTGTAGAACAATGAAGGCACTATCATGTCACTGGATTTCTGGTGCATCGATCACTTGATTGGGCAATAAATTCTTACTTTTTATGCAAATTGTGAGAATGGCGGGTTCTCTCGGAAGGGCAGGACATGCTTACCCTTTTTAGCAAACACCTGGTGTCATCCCTGACTTTGAGTGGTCCTTTCATATAGATTTCACATCTTTCTTAGCCTTAAATGCCCAATGGAATATAATGTTTTGTAAATAATAAATTCCACTCCTTTCATCACTCGTTTTAAGAAAGAAGTCCTATGAATATTCAAGAGCCTAGTATTATGCTAATAGCCATACATGACGTCGCAAAGAAGGCGGTGCAATTTAAAGACTTGACGCTAGTGTTATGCAAATGAACTGCCAAAAGGAAACAGCTCAGTCGGATGAAGGGAGGGCCCGTTGTTTTTATGCAATGAAGAAATTACTCGTTCGACGCTCGATGTAGGTAGAATAAGGGATAGTACTTTGTGTTTCCAAAGAAGGAAGGCATTAAAGCTTTGACCCCAAAGCTTTGCAAAACGAACAGTTTCCTAACGTTTCAACAAAATCAGTAAATGGGCTATCGTGTGACTATATTTTGGGTAGAACACTTGATTGTCTGGCTTGTTTACAGACCGCCTTCGCGTACATTTTCCTGCAAATTGTGTGGGTGACGGGTGCTACCAGGACAGGACATGCGTACTCTTTTCGCGAACACTTTATGTGATCACCGATTTTCGGTTATGTGTCGCTATGGTACGGCCAGCCAAGGTGACTCAGAAACCACCAGTCTCAAATCGTACATCCCTCGGATGTAGGGTGTGTGGAAAGTGTACTGTCAGTAATCCTTGAAGGATGTATCCGCTGTATAATCTCTTTATTATACCCCCGTTTACGAAGTAAATCGGGTGTATATAGCGTTCCGTCTGTCCGTCCGTCCGAGCTTTTGTACGGCCCATATTTTTTAACCATGCACCCTAGCTTCATCAAACGTGCTACACCCATTGACCACAATGAGTACTTGTGCCTTTTGCTAGTTTGAAGATTCTGATTTTTTAAATTTTGCCGTTTCCATGGAATCATGGTGAAACATAAATTTTGGGTAGAGTTTGTTTACAATATTATGTATCCTAGCTTCAGCAAACTTGCTACATTAACCACTATGATTGTTTTTTTATATCTTTCATAAGATTCTGAAAGTTTACTATTTTTCATTTATGTATAATAAGTATGCTTCATGCTTTGTAGTTAATTTCCAGTATCAAAGGATTCCAAGAATGTATGTTGTGCTAAGCATTGATTATCCCACACTAGATTGAAATATATTTGCAAAAACATGTGTTCATTTCAAACATAATGCATCCACATTGGGTTACAAAGGAAAGGGCAGTTCCTCTGACTTAAAGCAACAGGTATACTTCATTAATTAACAAACTATTTACTATTTGTTGTTGACCAGTGGGGATAACGGGGGTATGTGAGCTTTGCTCACTTCTTTCTTGTTGTTTGTGGTTTAACGCCCTACTCGGCAATATTCCAGTTACGTGACGGCGGTCTGTAAATAATCCGAGTCTGGATCAGACAATCCGGTGATTGATATCACGAGCATCGATCCACTCAATTAGAATATGATGACATGTATCAAACAAGTCAGCGATCCCGTTAGTCACCTCTTAGAACAAGCCTGGGTTGCTAAAGACCTATTCTAATCCGGATCTTCACGGGTCAGCTGTTTTGTGAGAAATGAAAGGACAAAGATTGCTGTGTTCAAACATTCATTGACTTGACTTTTTCCAGGACATCCAGTACGACCAGAAAAAATGTTCTGCAAAAACGGAGGCCAAATTATTTTTTTCATCACTGTTGTTTCTTCTCCATCTGGAATCCATATTGAAAGTTCCAGGAAATATAAGTATCTACTTTACAAATAGCAGTTGCAGCTATCTTTTAAACGGCATGACAGTGTGACATACCACTACAGTTGATATCACAGAAAACATAAACAACCATAGCAATAATAACGTGCTTTTTAATGTGCAGTTCCACACGTATAGCACATGCTCTAAGCGCTACAACGAGACTGAAAAAATAAGAGTACATCTTCATGATTGACATAGTTGGTTGGTTTGTTGTTTAACGCCGCACTCAGCAATATTTCGGCTATGTGACGTCGGTCTGTAAATAATTGAGTCTAGCCCAGATAATCCAGTGATCAATATCATGAGCATCAATCCACGCAATCGGGATCGATGACATGCATCAACCAAGTCAGAGAGCCTGACCACCCGATCCCGTTAGTCACCTCTTACGACAAGCATAGTCGCCTTTTGTGGCAAGCATGGGTTGCTGAAGACCTATTCTACACTGCATCAAACACTCAGGAGTCTATTGTATTTTCTGAACAGGTATGTTTGAGTTCTCATTTGAACCAGTCCAGTGATGCAGAAATCTTGATGTGAAACGGCAGAGAGTTCCAGAGAGCCGGATCTGCATTGTTGAATGCTCTGTGGTCAAAATATTTCAGTTTTGGTTTGGTGATATTTTAGAGCTTCAAATTTTCTGATCTGAAGAGGAACACGATCGGACAAGTACACTGGGTCAGCTGAGTGGAGGCAGTTGTAAGTCAAACAAAGTACTTTGAAGCGGATTCTAGACTCTGTAGAGGTATCAAGTAAAACTTCTTGGGGGTAGTTTTCATGCCTTCCTTCTTTGGAAACACAAAGTACTATCCCTTATTCTACCTACATCGAGCGTCGACCGAGTAATTTCTTCATTGCATAAAAACAACGGGCCCTCCCTTCATCCGACTGAGCTGTTTCCTTTTGCCAGTTCATTTGCATAACACTAGCGTCAAGCCTTTTCAATAGTTCTGTAAGGGAGTAAAATGCTGCCATTTTGGGGAACCGGAGACAGTTTTATTTTGAACTTTTTGTATTGTCTAGTTCTTTGAATGGTCTACCCCCGTCTGTATTGATACATGTTTGACATTATGGAACATTGTTGTCAGATTGACTGAATTCATTCTATCATTCAAAGGACGTTTGAAGACGACACATCTTCAGGCTGAGTCTTTTACCAGCTGTGACGAAGTTTCTGAAGTGACTGAACAGATGCACAACCTCCATCTTGGCGATGAATGATGAATGGCTGGACATGGTTTCTTTCAGTATGTTGAACGCAGCTTGGGCATCCTTCTTGGACTTCAGTTGAATCTCCTCCCTTGCTTGCTCGACTGGTTTGAACACTTTGTCAGTAACTGCAGGTTGTCCATGTATTTCTTTCAGGTAATTGCATGCCAGTAATTTTTCAGTTACTAGTTTAAGGTCATCCCCAAATCTTCTGGAAAGTCGTTCTTTTGGATATGGAACAAAGGAATCGTTGTTGGTTGTGATCTTGGCATCCCTGTATGCCAGTACAAAGATTATCTCATTCCTCTTAAAAAGTTGATAAAAACCATCCTCTCCAAGTTTCAGGTACCTGTCCCTCACAACTTGACGATATTTCCCCCCTCCCTTTGTGAGACGTGACCAGTAACTTGCCAGGATATCAAAGCTGTTATTGCAAAGAAGGTATCTGAACACAAACTCAGCAGAAATGCGGATTTGTGAGCATGCATCTCTGGTAGAATTCCCAAAGCCCTCCTTGACGTGAATGAGATAGGTCTTCCCCTCAGTGTAGTAGAGGATGTCATACAACTCTATGTTCTTCTGGCCAAAAACAAAGATCCTGTCCCCCAGGAGATATCCCGAAGTGTTGTCAGAGACCAGTTGATCATACAGGATGTAACCTTCATTGTAGTGTTCTTCGGCCTGTTGGCAGAGCATCCTGAGGAAAAGTTGCCTGGCTCTTTCCTCAAAGCTTATACTGAGATTCTCCATATAGTCATCCATCTTTACACCTTTAAATGTGTTTTGCCCAGCCTTCATGTTAAAGTCATCCAGGTTTGAGTCTTTATGCAAAATTTGCTTCATCCACCTTAGAAACAATCCCCCTTCAAATGTCTGTTGTCGTGTGGGCATCTTCTCTTCATCGCTAACGCAAGTCCATGGCAACGAAAGGATATTTTCACTCAGGCGGTTGTGCAGCTCAACTTGGCTGAATTGGTCTTCTAGATTCACCATGTACTCGTTCTCAATCTTCAGCCATTTTCCACAGTAGCAGAACATGGACAAGCCTTGCGCTGTTGAACAATGGCCTTCCAAAAACGTCAGCAAGGGGAATCTTTTCTTCCTAATTTTATCCTTGTCAGAACTGAAAAACTCCACAAACAGCCTGTCAATAACCTGATCATATTCAGATGAGTCTATCGCATCTCTAACTACTTGCATTAGCTCATCAAGTCTTGGTGGATCATTGTCCCATGCTTTCAAACACTGAAGCTTGGGTCTGTGTGGTGTCTTCATCTTGAGGATAAATCTGTTTGCATCATTCCAATCGTCCAGGTTACGATGGGACAACCGTAGATTAAGACTCTGTTCTGGGTTTTTGAGATGAGAGGTTAGTCTCTCTTTCAACGCTGTATTCATTTTTTCCACTGTTTTCGATTTCTTTTCTACCTTCACTTGACTAAATACAGCAAAATTGACGTCATCAGTCTCAACATTATTGTCTGGGTATGTATTGGATCGCCTACCTCTTGTGATATGAGAAAGACGATAAAACATGATGGCTATATCTTTCAGACTCATTTGACGAGATATTTTGATATAGGTATCTCCTACAATCATAGACACCTTGCTTGGCTTGCCTCTCTTAGTTTGAAAACTATTCAACGAGTAGAGGGAAGCGTCGTCTTTGAGTGGCATCTTGATTGACGTTGTAATTTGACCCAGATAATCCCAGAAGGTGATCATTGTTCCTTCATCAGGTCGGTAGGATAGTGCTGATGATGAGGTGGGCCCACTGATATGTTTGGAGGATAAGGACTTCAAATTGAATTTCAAAACACGTCTGGCACATTTAATTGGGAATTCTTCATCGCACACATGTTCTTTTAGAAGTGAATGGTTTCGTCCAGATGTTAATGCAAATATTTCCGGGAAATAGACAGAGGAATCCGACCCAGAAGAGTAGATATGTCTAACAAGAAATAGAATAATATCTATGTGTATATCTGAATGTAAACTTTGGTCTGTACCATCTTCACTGGCAAAGAATGTACCAACTGTTTGTAACAGCTTAGACGGGGGACTGGTTCGGCTGACATAGAAGATCTTCATCAAAAACTTTCCTGGAAGGCGTTGAAGTGTGCCAGATACAGATGAAGAAACAACCTTTTCTTCAACAGGATTTCGGGATACTTTCGTCATGATGGCATTAATGAACGTTTCAGCCTCCTCAGTGCTTTCTTCTTTTGAAGAATAGTTTCTGCCACTGAGCTTCAGTTTGGTGATCCTCATGGCAGGCATTTTCGTTTTGGCCTCACTGGCAAGCTCCCCCCCTTCACTACCTTGTGATACATGTGAATCAAGGCTCATTGTCCCTGTGGTACTGGGGTATGTTCATGTACTTTGTCTTTGCATTTACCTGAAACATATATGGTCAGTATCAGTCGAAATGTTGGAAGGCATTATGCTTATAATCAACAAAAACATGTCATACGTCTTGTGAAACCTTTTTGTTTTCATCTATAATAAGGACCACCTATCATCCACATTAATCAAAAACATTCTAGACGTTTTGGGGATTTGGGTTAACAAATAAATGGATATATGTCTATGTCATTTGAAGAGTACATTGGAAAACATGTCACACTGCCGTTCTGTTGTGGCAGCACCCGAGTAAAACGGGTTTGTTTGTTTGTTGTTTAACGCTTCACTCAGAAATATTCCAGCGAAATGACGGCGGTCTGTAAATAATTGAGTCTGGACCAGGCAATCCAGTGATTAATATCATGAGCATCAATCCACGCAATTGGGATCAATGACATGCTTCAACCAAGTCAGTGAATCTGACCACCCGATCCCCCTTAGTCGCCTCCTACGACAAGCATAGTCGCCTTTTACGAGAAGCATGGGTTGCTGATGACCTATTCTACCCCGGATCTTAACGGGTCAGTGAAACAAGTGCAGCAAGCCCTCCCACCTTATTCAGTGACATAACAATTGAAGGGTGACGATGGCCTAACCTAGCTATTTTGCATAAATGACCCAAGTACCCAACATTTGGTGAAACCATTTTATGAAAGCCTCATATTTTCAAACATGATAAGACAATATATTTTAGTAACAAGGCCATCAGCCCATAATACATACACAATACATTAATATAGCATGATAAAAATGCTAGAGATAAATACATACAATTATATATACACATATTTGTATACATACAACATGTACATATATATGACATGACAAACATGACAAAAAGGTATTAGGTATTTCTTAATTTGTATAAAGTATAAACCCATATTAAGAAGGACAAGATCATCTGTTAGCATTAGCTGTGTGAATTATATTACAGATGGACATTCAGTGTAATATAGCGAGAGATACTTTCTTCATATAGTGGCATATCCTTCACATGTAAACGTTACATGGTATATTTCAAGTTTTTGGACAAACAGAAATTGCAAAATCGTATATTATAGGGAGTGTAATTGTGTCCTCCAAGTTTACAATTACACAGAAATTATTTCATCTGCCACACTCCCCAAGTACTATATTTTAAGTGTATTCTCATCTTTCCGACACAAGAGGGTTAACTGACTATTAAAGTCCAGTTTCCACCCTTGCCAAAACTAGGCAGGAATTATGGAGTCATATTTTGGCTGGACTAACGAGTATATGCATAGTCCAATCAAAATCTGCAGATATAAGTCGATTGCAGGATTTGAAAAAACATGTACCGCAAACTCTGTGTCAACAGATATTTTCCAAATCTTTTAAAAAAAATCATATTTTTATTCAAGGGGCTCACTTGATTTGATGCACTTTGCAAAGTAAGACCCGCTTAATTACAAGACAGATTTTGATTATTGATCAGACTATCTTGACTGGGCGCCGCCATTTTGTTTGAAACAAATGCAAGTGATATATGAGGGGCAATCTGATTGGTCAGTAGGAGGGACATAGAAGGTGCCAGAAAACCTAGTTTGGCAAGGTTGGAAACTTGACTTTTACTGTCAGTTAATTCCCTCGCCTAGGGAAGATGGTGTATTCTTAGGGAGACGAAGATACCATTTACAGAAGGGGTATTTCGTTTCGATACTTTCAATTAATTTGATGTACACTGTTCCCAAAACTTGAGCTCCATAACATAAGATCAGAACGACACCACGGTCAAATATTTTAAAGGCAACTTGAAGGATAGGTATCCATTTTTCTTTTGGAAGTAGTTAATGAATCCGATTGATTTGTTTGCTTGAGCTGAAGGCCTTACTCCACAACCACTTGGTGATGAAAACAGTACTTAAATATTTATAAAAATTCACAACTTCAATTTTTCCTTTGAAATCCCATTTTTTGTAACTTTTCAATATTCCAACTCACCGAAACACAATAATTTTAGTTTTGTTTAGATTTACTTCCATTCCAGTGGATACACAAAAATGTTCAAGAATATATATTATCTTTTATAGCTACAGTTGTAAAGCACTGTTCGCAACAAACGATACATCGTCTGCGTATGATAATACAAATACATGTGGTATCTCACTACTACTTGTACTAAGGAATATGTGACTTTAAATATTAACTCACTCACTCACTCACTACTAAGGAATATGCCTTGACCAGCATTTTTTCCCAACATCACTCATCACTTCGGGCTTTGGATGCTGGTTTTTATAATGTATTGTTGAATCATAGGTTATTCTTTTTTAATTGTTCACGCAGCTAGTTTTACTTCTAAACTGTGATAGTCTAGTTATTTATACTGTCCGTCGATGACAGGTTTTTATTCGTCTAAATTTATTAATGATAATGTTCTCGTCACTATATGGCTGAAATACTGCCGAGGTGACGTTAAATTTTAACTCACTCACTCATCACTTCGGGCTTTCCTCCCTCATTAAGCTGACACGCAGTGATATAACTGGAATACTGTACTCACTCACTCCCAACATCACTACAAGGGAAATAATCAGAAAGACAATCCTCCATTCCAACACATGACAAGTTAGAGTACAATAAGTGCTCGTAATTGTAGAAAGTTCCAATTTATTCCCAAACCATTTCAGCTTCTTAAAAGAATGTTGTGGGTTACTCTGTCCAAAGCCTTCAAAACGTCAATAAAGATGCAGTAAAATCTTCCCTTGGTCTTTGAGATGTATTTCTGTAAAGTAGCTTAAAGACTAAATATTTGGTCTGTTGTGGAATATCCCGGTCTAAAACCTGCTTATGTTTACTTAAGACATTGTTATTGTCATACCAGGACTGGAGGCGTTGGTCCAGAGTGGAAGTCAATATGATACATAAAGTGTCAATGAGAGATAGTCCCCTGTAAATTATTTGGTTCATCCACTTTACCTCCCTTGAATAAGGTACATATTATGCTCTTCCCCCACTCCCCAAGAAAAACTGCAGTGTGAAGGATTCTGTTGAAAATTTTGGTAAAGATAGGTGAAATATAATGTCTCAATGATTTCACAAACTCACTTACAATACTGTCAGACGCTGGTGACTTACTTTTTTTTAAATTGTGCAAAAACATAAGGACTTCCTCATAAGTGAAAGGCATTTAAATCATCACATATCATCATATCTGCGTTAGATAAGTCTGGATCCTCATCATGTATATCAGTTACTCTGAGAGTTATAATCACAATCAATGTGTTTCTCAATACTGGGAATATTTTGAAAATGCTCAAGCCACTGGTCTGGGGTAACAACATTTAATATTCATGAGGCACATCTACATTTTTTAAACTTTTTCCAAAATAACTTGGGGTTGTGTCTCTCAATAACCAGCTTATTCCCTTGTTTCTCATAATAATTTTCTTTATTAGAAGAGAATAAAGACTAACACAATCTATGCAGAACTCAATGTCCTCTCCATAGTCTTGGTGAGCTCTTAAAGCTGCCGGGTCGGTCAGGTAGCCTAGTGGTTAACACATTCACTCGTCATGCCAAAGACCCGGGTTTGATTCCCGACATGGGTACAATGTGAGAAGCCCATTTCTGCTGTCCCCTGCCGTGATATTGCTGGAATATTGCTAAAAGCGGCGTAAAACCATACTCACTCACTCACTCTTAAAGCTGCATAGTTTCTCTGTTTAATGGTCTCTCACTCTTCATCCCACCATGGAGGTTGCTTTGTTGTCATAATGTAACTACTGGACTTAAAAACCCTCATAGTGATTGCTACATTTCTGTCATTCCCCTGATTGTGTTATTTATATCCCCTGCACTCAGAGACACAAGTTCTTCATACTTTGTGAAAAATAGTTCTTGGAAATTGTTTAGTTGGTTTGGTTTGTTGTTTATTGTTTAACGCCGCACTCAGCAATATTCCAGCTATATGACGGCTGTCTGTAAATGATTGAGTCTGGACCAGACAATCCAGTGATTAATATCATGAGCATCAATCCACGCAATCGGGATCGATGACATGCATCAACCAAGTCAGCAAGCCTGACCTGCCGATCCCCTTAGTCGCCTTTAACGACAGGCATAGTTGCTTTTTACAGCAAGCATGGGTTGCTGAAGACCTATTGGATGATAATTCTGATTATCCGATTGATAATTTTAATTTATCATCCAAAACTGGCTCCCACAGGAGATATAGCTGGGATGAGATCAAGCGATATCTACACTGTAGATATCGCTGCAAATGAAATTACATCACGGGAGTAGTGAAAAACGGGTGTTGGATCGTAAAGTTGTGTAAGTTTCCCTAAGACCTAGAACGGGTGTTTGATCGTAAAGATGTGTAAGTTTCCCTAAGACCGAGAACGGGTGTTTGATTGTAAAGATGTGTAAGTTTCCCTAAGACCGAAAACGGGTGTTGGATCGTGAAGCCAGAGTCACCAGAGCGTGAGGCACGGTAACGGTATAACGAGACAGCGGTGGCACTATAGCGCGGTAATTGAGCGGATGGTAGAGCTCGGGCTGCGCCCGGTAAACTGCATTGTTGCCGTAAAGGTCTCCCGGGACAGTTGTGTGAAATCACATTGTTTCTGGACAAAACTTTCACATAAACATCCAATGTCATACTCACGGGGGAAGTCTTTAAAATTCAGATCAGATGTGAATTTATATAATCCTTCTATATTGCATGAAAGTTTGCTCAGCTGTGTTTGGCCTAGGCCGTCTCCTCATGACTCGTTGTTGTAGGCAGGTGTAGTGGTTGGAGTGATCTCCCTTGTATTCCCACTTCCGGCTCCAAACAGTAAACACGTGGGTTCACGATGAGGCACATCACTGCAAGCGGGTTCTCTAAGTTGTGCAGCTGTTGTCATAGTAGATCGACTGTTACTAACTGACACACATATTACAGTATGGTTCCTTCGATCGTGTTGATACACCTTTCTACCGACGATTAATCTGTTGTGCTGAATCTTCTTTGCATTCGTAGTTCTCTGCAATATTCCAATCAATGACGGCGGTCTGAAAATAATCGAATCTGGACCAGACAATCCAGTGAGTGACATAAGAGACCATATAATATATAATAATCTATTATGTGGTCTCTGGTGACATCATGAGCATCGATCCACGCAATTGGGATACAATGACATGCACAAACCAAATCAGCAAGCCTGACTACTTGATCCCGTTAGTCGCCTCTTACGACAAGCATAGCCGCCCTTTACGGCAGTATGGGTTGGTGAAGACCTATTCTACCCCGGATCTTCACGGGTATGGGTAGTTGGTATAATGCTAGGAGATCCTCCGTGACTCGCCCTTGTCCTTCTTTCGATTTACGGAGCACATCATTCCTGTCTTTTGTTATTACAATCACAATCGCCGGTGGATTCTTCTTTTTACTGTAAATACTGTGTACCCTCGTTATATGAATTTCGTCATCTCGAGTTGCGTCATAATTCACGCACCAGACGTTCGGATTCATCCCAGTGTTCTCCTAGTTCGCCGTTTAGCTCAGGTAACACAAGATTATTTCGCCAAGATCAAGACTGGAAATGCCCAAGCTGATCTTCCACGGTGTGTGATCTACGTTTGCCTCCCATAACGTAGCCATGTCATGATTGAACGCGTTCGCCCAGTTTGGTGACCTTATTATCAAGTTTCGTGAATCTGTCTCTAAAAGTATAAATTTGAATCTGCCTTGAAGTGGTTGTACGGGCGGAAGTCTTTCCCATTACAGGACTCACTGGAATTTGTTATCGCTTTCGTGCCTGAATCAGACTGTGAAAATATTTGCTGACGTGTCGTCGGACCGGGGTTTGATTCGACCGAGCCACTCATAAGTAGTATAAAAAACAGCAGAATTAGTCTCAAAGTTAATGATTAACGCCTTATTGAACGATGACTCCATGTAGGCACTTTTTGGATTTGTGTGGTTGTTTAAATGTTTCTATTTTGACCGTGTTGTTCAACACTGATTCCCATTGGGAGAATTCAAATTCCCACGTCTCTACGGTAGGATTACCCAGCTTTTCGAACATGATATCGTGCAGAGTGAGTGAGTTTGGTTTAATGCCGCTTTGAACAGTATTCCACGGCGTGTCAGCTTGATGTGGGAGAGTGAGTGAGTGAGTATGGGTTTACGCCGCTTTTAGCAATATTCCAGCAATATCACGGCGGGGGACACCAGAAATGGGCTTCACACATTGTACCCATGTCGGGAATCGAACCCGGGTCTTCTGCGTGACGAGCGAACGCTTTTACCACTAGGCTACCCGACCGCCCCTGATGTGGGAGAGAACCAGGCAGCCATTAAGTAACGTTTTAGGCAGTGTCCAAGAAAGGGTTTGATTTTATATTTAATGTTTAAATTGTAAGAAATAATTTTTGCTTGATGTACAACAATTTTGAAAAAAAGACAACAGTATTTGAACTGTTATCTTGATTTGGATATTGCAACTGTATGTTAATTTTGGTATGTCGTTAATATGATATTTTCATTTGAGAATGAGATACAATAAGAGTACACCATAATCTGGGATTCGTGCCACAAGCACAGGGCATCCGGTGTATGCAAAGGGCTAATCATGGACGGGACACAGGAAGCCTATTTCTGCAAGGGGTAAAGACATTTTAAAAATTGGTTTCCTTGAATTGATTTTCGGCAATGTCCCCTCACTCTTACAATCTGCCTCATATTATTTTATAAGAAGTAACATATCGCATAGAAAATGAATTTTACATTGTTTGAGCGTTTGTTTTATTTGCCATTTCAAGTGAGTTTGAATATGCGGAAGGCTGATGAAGCAGTCTTTAAAAAACCTCAATTGCTCTGATTGATATCAGTATCAAACATCAGTAAGAAAAGAAACAGATCTTAGGGTTTGTTTGCATGAATATTACTGGAATCATAGACATAGAATCATAATAGGTGATAGTCATGACTCTTTTTTCAGTATACCGTATTTCCTCTATTAGACGCCGGGACTCTAAGAGAAGCCGGGTCAATTGTTCAGTGCAAAAAATAGAAGCCGGGCCTCTAATAGACACCGGGTCGCCAAATTGATAAAATTAATGATCCCTTTTCGGGACCTAAATTACATAATGATTCGGGACATTCGTGGTCATAGTGAAATGGGGTTATTAATAGAAGCCGGGCCTCTAATTGAGGAAATACGGTATGTAACGGGGGCGCAGGTGGCCTAGTCGTCTAAGGCGCCGCAATTCGCTGCGCAGAATTGCGTCCCTCGGGAATGCCAGCAAGTGTCGTGGGTTTGAACCTCCGTTCTCCCCGATTATGTTTCTAGGTTTGTGAGGACAGCCTCTGTGGTCTAGTGGTAGATCGTCCGCCGAAGCCCAGCCGCGCGTCATACCAAAAGACGTTTAAAGGTGGTACTTGTTGTTACCCTGCCTGGCGCTCGGCAATAAGGGGATAAAACAAAGGTATGTCGCCTCAGAGTCAGTATACTGTATCTGAGATGGGTATTCATGTTAAACCGCGGCATGGTACCTCAGTGGTCTAGGACTATGAAATCGGCAATAAGGTCAACTCAATACTAGTATTCTGGTTTTGTAGCTGAAAAATATATTTAATCTTGGTAATAATCAAATAGATGTGATCGTAATCTAACTTTAACAAACGAGACCCAATCATCATCCAAATAAAGAAAAAATGATGCAGGGTCATAGTTCCTTTCTTGCGTTACGTTAGTTGCATGGTCCTGTGGTCTCTGCCATCATACTCTGTCGCCACCGCGATCTGAACAGAACATGACCTAGATTACAGTAGAGGCAGGCGGCGTGGGACCGCAGTGCAGTAATTAACTCACTGCATGTCAGTATTGCAGCGAGACAACTTCTCGTAACCAGTCGCACAATGTGCACTCAAGGCGAAGTCTGAGTTAAACCTTGATAACAGATGACATACCTCTTATTTCTGCTAAGGCCTCATCACTGACATCAGATAACTTGTGAAACGTCTATTCTGTTGTGAGTTGATAGTGATTCTGATTCAGAGAATCAGCTGGCGTTCGTTGTTGTTTTCCGAGGCATAACGATGTATATAAACCACGTGACGCATCTTGTCCAATAGAAATGCCTAAACACAAGTGCAGATCCCGGCCTACAGTTGTTGCTGTGTTCAAACGTGGCGTTGGGGCAGCTGTGAGATCCCCGCCACCACTCCCATTATTTGGATTCGCATCCGCTTTAAATCTGATGTGTACACTACTCGCTGAGAAAGTGCTACGAATTCTCCTTTGGTAATGCTGATTTCAAAAGCGTCGTTAAAAAAACCCCGGGAACGTGTTAATAAAACAAACGGTCACAGGCAAATGCGTACATGTACGGTCGACAGATGGGATTTATATTCCGCGAACACGGACTCGTTATGAATAGGGAATGTGTGTGGGGGTGGGGGTGTGTGCGGTGGCGGGGGGTTTGGTTATACTTCGTAATTAGCTATTCTTTTAGCAACAAAACCAGATATTTCTTTATTTAAAACTGTGAGCCAATGCATTTGTTTGTGACCGGCTCTTTCCTTTATTACAACACATACGCATGTTGCCACGTATGGCAAGCCGTTTTCACATTTATTACGGAATTACAGATATCTTCAATTGTTTTAAAGATATCTGTATTTTATTTAAAGATATCAATAATGTTTTAAAGATATCAAAAAATAATTGAAGATATCTTAAAATGTTACGGTGATATCAAGAAATTAGTTTGTGATATCTCTAAATGTATTTAAGATATCATTAAACAATTACCATCCTACAGTACATAAATATATTAGAAATAAATTCAAGATACCTTAAATTCAATTCAAGGTATCTTGAAATAAGTCATACATATCCACAAATGCATTGCAGATATCGTTAATTCAATTAGAGATATCTTGAATTCAATTAGGGATATCTTTAATTCAATTAGAGATATCTTTAATTCAATTAGAGATATCTTTAATTCAATTCAAGATTTCATTAATTCTGCCCGTTACGGATATCAAACATCCAATTAAAGACATCATTAATACTTTTGATGATATCTTTATATCAATTATTGATATCAGTTATCTTATTTAAGAGACATTATGACATTATTATAACCGTGGTTTCAGGTAGTACCGTGTTTTGTTGTGATGGCAACAGTGCCGACAGTAAACGGGGCTTTGGACATGTTCACGATGGACAAGTTTCATCGGCATAACCTCTTAGTAACGTACATGTATATGGCTTACCCCTTAAAGGACAAAAGTCATGACGTTTGGCACTACTCATATTATTGTGACAACATAGTTTACAGTTTCACACGTTTCAGTGATCATGACGTTAACGATGACAAGGGACGGTGGGGTAGCCTAGTGGTTAAAGCGTTCGCCTGTGACGCTGAGGCCTGGGTTCGATTCCCCACATGGGTACAATGTGTGAAGCCCGTTTCTACTATACCCCGCCATGATATTGCTGGAATGTCGGGGTGAAATCCAACTCACTCACTGACCATGACAACAAAGTTTACACATTCACACGTATCAGTGATCTTAACGTTTACCGTAACAATTTCACACGCATCATGATAGTCAGGTTATGTATGCCAGACAAAAGAATTAAAAGGGTACTCGTATATACAAATGTATCAAGTATGAAGTCCAAACACGTATTCGAACTGTGCTCCTGGTCGATAAAGAGACCTACTGACGAATTAATTCACTCACCTGACAGCATTGTTGATTAAAATGCAGACTTTGTGAGATTTCACCGGGAAGGGGCGGTTCGTGTGATGTGTGTGCAGAGTTGCGTCCCCTAGACGTGCCAGAAACTTGTTGTCTCTTGTTCGATTTGTTTGTTTGTTGTTTAACACAGCACTCAGCAGTATTCCAGCTGTATGACGGCGGTCTGTAAAAAAATCGAGTCTGGACCAGACAATCCAGTGATGAGCAAGGGCGGATCTAGCATTGTTAAAAGGGAGTGGTCCAAAATATCAAAGTCCTCTGCCTGGATCAGCCTATGTCCTATACAACGAGTATTGATTAGTTAAATCTCTCCATTTCGCAGATTATCATTTACCCGTGTAGAATCGGGTAGAATAGGTCTTCACCATCCCATGGATGCCGTAAAAGGCGACGTATGCTCATCGTAAGAGGCGACTAACGGGATCGGGTGGTCAGGCTCGCTGACTTGGTTGATGCATGTCATCGTATCCCAATTGCGTGGATCAATGCGCATGATGTCAATCACTGGATTGTCTGGTCCAGACTCGATTATAAACAGACCGCCGTCATATAGCTGGAATATTGCTGAGTGCGGCGTTAAACAATAAACAAACAAACATTTCGCTGACAAGTAAGGTTACTACACGCACCCAGCAGATCGGCTGAAGTTATACATGTGCAGCAAATGTAGTCTGTCGTATTGACAAAGCGTTCATTTTTTGCCTGCACTGAAAGGGTACCGAACAATAAACCCGAACCATCAGGCTATATAGCCGGATGTTTGAAGGAATTATATCATCTTATATTCAACGCTGTGATGGAGGGGGTGAATATCGTTAGAGTCTACTTCAATCAAATCACGACTGGACGGTGCGGATAGCTTAGCGGGTAAAGCGTTCGCTCGTCACGCCCTTGACGCGGTTTCGTTTCTATGTTTTACGTGTGAAGCCCACTCATTATGTACCCTGCGGATATATAGCTCGACTATTGCTGAAAACAGCGTAAACCAGAAATACTAACTCACACAAATCGGAGTATTGACGCATTGTTGTATGTATTGTAAGGTATTGACGCGTACCTTAGTGACTGTAGTTGCTAATATTATACTGTCCGGAACTGGCCGGTTTTCCCGAAGTACCTCCGTGTGAGTGGGTGGTTTTACGCCGCTCTTTGGGACACCAGAATGGGCTTCACACATCGGGAATCGAACGCGGATTTTCGGCGTGACGAGTGAACGCTTTAACCACTAGGCTACCCGACCGTCACGAAGTACCTCCGACTCTACGTAAGGAGAGAAGTACCCCCCCCTACGTAAAGAGAGAAGTAACTCCGATACTACGTAAGGAGAGAAGTGCCTCCGACACTACGTAAAGAGAGAAGTAACTCCGACACTACGTAAGGAGAGAAGTACCTCCGACTCTACGTAAAGAGAGAAGTAACTCCGACACTACGTAAGGAGAGAAGTGCCTCTGACTCCACGTAAAGAGAGAAGTAACTCCGACGCTACGTAAGGAGAGAAGTACCTCCGACTCTACGTAAAGAGAGAAGTAACTCCGACACTACGTAAGGAGAGAAGTACCTCCGACTCTACGTAAAGAGAGAAGTAACTCCGACACTACGTAAGGAGAGAAGTACCTCCGACTCTACGTAAAGAGAGCAGTAACTCCGACACTACGTAAGGAGAGAAGTACCTCCGACTCTACGTAAAGAGAGAAGTAACTCCGACACTACGTAAGGAGAGAAGTGCCTCTGACTCCACGTAAAGAGAGAAGTAACTCCGACACTACGTAAGGAGAGAAGTGCCTCTGACTCTACGTAAAGAGAGAAGTAACTCCGACACTACGTAAGGAGAGAAGTGCCTCTGACTCTACGTAAAGAGAGAAGTAACTCCGACGCTACGTAAGGAGAGAAGTGCCTCTGACTCTACGTAAAGAGAGAAGTAACTCCGACACTACGTAAGGAGAGAAGTGCCTCTGACTCTACGTAAAGAGAGAAGTAACTCCGACACTACGTAAGGAGAGAAGTGCCTCTGACTCTACGTAAAGAGAGAAGTACCTCCGACACTACGTAAGGAGAGAAGTAACTCCGACACTACGTAAGGAGAGAAGTGCCTCTGACTCTACGTAAGGAGAGAAGTGCCTCTGACTCTACGTAAAGAGAGAAGTACCTCCGACACTACGTAAAGAGAGAAGTAACTCCGACACTACGTAAAGCGAGAAGTAACTCCGACACTACGTAAAGAGAGAAGTACCTCCGACACTACGTAAAGAGAGAAGTACCTCCGACACTACGTAAGGAGAGACGTAACTCCGACACTACGTAAAGAGAGAAGTAACTCCGACACTACGTAAAGCGAGAAGTGCCTCCGACTCTACGTAAAGAGAGAAGTGCCTCCGACTCTACGTAAAGAGAGAAGTAACTCCGACACTACGTAAAGCGAGAAGTGCCTCCGACTCGACGTAAGGAGAGAAGTGCCTCCGACTCTACTTAAAGAGAGAAGTAACACCGACACTTATTTCTCTGGTTCTCGTAGACTATGCAGAACCTACCTTATCTGCCTGACTATGAGTTACACATGAGAAACAAGGTCTTTCTTATTTTAATCAGTTTAACGATGCATTACTCGAGTAATCTCTATATACGCCGAGTCGATTGCTGGATACCGTTTTATCCCCAGTACCAAATTACTCGTACATTCACACTCGACTCGACGGTTAAACATTATTATAAATGGTCATATTCATATCATTTTCGATAAGAGGTGAAGTGAAATGGGGTTTAACGTCGCGGTCAAGATTATTGCACTCATGAAGCGACGTGCATGCACGGGCAGACGCTCTGTAATTAGACCACGGACAGACCTTGAAACATAAACGATGAAAGGAATATTAAGTTACCATGTACACGGCTCATGTAAAGACGCCTGTTTCAGGGTAATTTAGAGGGTAGGGTGTCGACTTGTACCCTAGAAGGCCCTTTTTCAATTCCCAATATTTGTACAAGGCTACCCCTTTCCACCTTGAACGTATGGTAAAATCACTAACTCGCTCACTAATCGTGTATTAGCGATGTCCATGTAATTTTGTGTTTAAAACACCCCAAACATGAATTTGGTATTGTTTTACTCATTTTCATGCATGCAACCTGGTGACAATGTACAAAAATAATCATGCTATTTTAACTTGAGAAGTTGAATATTTCTTCAAGGTTTTAAAGAAAAAAAAAAGACGTTCTTCCTCTACCTGGTTTTATAAACAAAATGTCACACGTACAGCGTGTTCGTTTTAATTAGATAATTGGGGCGGTGGGGTAGCCCAGTGGTTGAAACGTTCGTAAGTCAAGCCATAGGCCCGGGTTCGATTTCCCCCATGGGTGCAATGTGTGAAGCTAATTTCTGGTGTCCTCCGCCGTGATATTGCTGAAATATTACTTAAAGC